AAGTTTTTTATAGTAGACATAATTTTTATAAAGGCAAAATAGAAAATTATATTCATGTTGGAAATAACAAAATAAGGATTGCTTTTCTCTTCATTTGTTAGGACTATTACCAGAGCCTATTGAATTTCATCTTTTTTCTCTTTTTCTTAAGAAACACACAAGAAATGCCTATTCCTTTTAAAATCATCAGTCATCTTACATACCAAAAATATTGCAGTGAGATTCTTATAGTCAATGAGTTCTCTGGACAGCATTTCACTTGTGGTAAGTATTCTATTTTGGAATACTATTTTTCACATGTTATTCTGAGGAAGCAATTTCCTGCGGGAAAGGTATTTTTGAAAAAAAAGCTATATTTTATAATAAATCAATTTAAAACTTTGTTTTGAAATAAAGTCCAACATTTTTCTCTGATTTTTAAAATGAAAGAAAATAAGCAGTGGTCACGTCAGTCTCCTGTCAAAGGTCAATAGCTTAAGGCCACTTTGATGTTACTAGAAAATGACAGATCTTAAGTATATTACTATAAACTATAGTATATTCTGGATGGACTCAGTCCCTATTAATATATCTATTGAACACATCTGAGCAGGCTGAAATGGCTTATTATTCCCCAAAATGTAACAATATATGGTGGGGCAATGCTATTGCTCACACAATCCCACAAGAAGGAAGTGGGAATATGACAAGGTCCTCAATATTTTTAGATGATAACATCAATAACTTTAGGATATTTGGTGCTAAGTGATCATGATTTTTATCAGGAATATGATAATGAAACTATACACAAAATAGAAATAAACCCATCTCCATCTTCAAATGAAGCCAAGGCCCAGAACTGCTCACTCTTGCTTCATCTAATTGTGAATTCTGGGCTTTCTAAAATGTCCTGTAACATTCATGAAGTAGGGGTACTTAGCAGAGTGCTAAGCATTTAGTGAGCATTTGGTAAATATCTGTTGATTAAATTACCTAACATGAACCTGACTTTGTCAATCTTTTCCTTGGCAGGCAGCTCAAATGTTTCTGTGACAACTAATCCAATGTGTGCCTTCACTGAAGGAACGCAATTCATTGAGAAAACCACCCCAGGGGCAACATCCAGATTCACGACAAACTTTCTGGTTTTATATACATTTATTCCAGCTCTTGTCATCCTAGGAATAGTTGCTTTTAAAGTAAGGGATCATTTAATTAGCAGATAGTAAAAAATATTGCTGGGAAAAAGGAATTTAAGCTGCTGGATGTATGTATGATTGTTTTGAATATCTGAAATAGGAATGCCATGTATTTCTTTCTTGATAGGACATCTTAAGTCTTTTAAGCATTAAGACTTCATTTGTGTCCATTGGATCCATGCAGCCTTGAATGCAATGGAAATGGTTCATAGTCCTTTACTATTTCAACTTGCAGGAACATGTGGTGTTTGGAAATTATGACTGAGCTGGTCCAAGAATTTAAATAATAATCATTCATAAACCTATGGGAGATTAGAAAAGAAAAAAAAATTAAAAAAATAAAAATACTTAAGAAAAATCCTCCTTGCAGAAAAAAAAAGAAAAAAAATAAACCTATGGGAGATTAGTATGACTGTTTTATTTGTTCTAGACACAGAAAAATAAGTCTGTTAAAAAAATTATGCTTACATTTGATAAAGGATTCAGTAAAAAGAAAATGTTTGAATGATTACTAACTGTAACAGAAAAGGAGTTGCAGGTTTAACTGAAGCAAAGCATCATGCAGACCTGGGTAAAAATGCTTTTGATACCATTTGAAACCCATACTTGGCCAGGTGTGGTGGCCCATGCCTGTAAGCCTAACACTCTGGGAGGCTGAGGTGGGAGGATTGTTTGAGTCCAGGAGTTTGAGACCAGCCTGAACAAGAGCAAACCCTGTCGCTACAAAAAATGGAAAAACCAGCCAGGCATGGTAGTATGTGCCTGTAGTGGTGCGAGGTTAAGGCAGGAGGATCACTTGAACCCAGGAGTTTGAGGTTGCAGGGAGCTATGATGATGCCACTGCACTCTAGCCTGAGTGACAATGAGACCCTGTCTCCAAAAACAAAACAAACAAGAAACCCATACTTATGGGCACATGTCCACATGAGAGGACTGAGTTATCTGATCACATTGAGAGGATGTAGGACAGATGGATGATGGACACCATTGACACAGAGCACCCAAGGATTTTACTGAGGGTTAAAATTTTTAAAACTGTAGGAATGGGCTGAACAGTGAACACAGCACACCAGACAAACCTCTGGTGATGTTTTAAAGATGAGTTTGCTATTTTTCACTTTTAGCTGAATTTACTTATAAATTTTTTTTTTTTTTTTTTTTTTTTTTTTGAGACAGAGTCTCGCTTTGTTGCCTAGGCTTGAGTGAGTGCCGTGGCGTCAGCCTAGCTCACAGCAACCTCATACTCCTGGGCTCAAGCAATCCTCCTGCCTCAGCCTCCCGAGTAGCTGGGACTACAGGCATGTGGCACCATGCCCGGCTAATTTTTTCTATATATATTGGTCGGCAAATTAATCTTTCTATTTATGTAGAGACGGGGTCTCACTCTTGTTCAGGCTAGTTTCAAACTCCTGACCTTGAGCAATCCGCCTGCCTCGGCCTCCCAGAGTGCTAGGATTACAGGCGTGAGCCACCGTGACCGGCCTACTTATAAAATTAAAAGTAAACATTTCTAGACAAAGTATATGCACTGAGAAATAACCTCTTTAAGGTTGGAGAATAGTTGTTATTTAAAGTCCATACAGAAGAAACACTGACACGGTATTTACACTAAGAACAGGGTTACACAGCAGGAAGTCACCTTCTTGAACTGTAAAGAGAAAGAATACTGATAAAAACAAATACAAATGTATATTATATATTTTTAGGGATGAAATGATGTATATAGGTTATTAAAATGGGTTCTGAACTACATGATTGATTATCTTTCTTTTTCTTTTTTTTTTTTTTTTTTTTGAGACAGAGTCTCACTTTGTTGCCAGGCTAGAGTGAGTGCCATGGCATCAGCCTAGCTCACAGCAACCTCAATCTCCTGGGCTCAAGTGATCCTCCTGCCTCAGCATCCCAAGTAGCTGGGACTGACAGGCATGTGCCACATCCCGGCTAATTTTTTGTATATATATAATTTTTTAGTCGGTCATTAATTTCTTTCTATTTTGTAGAATGGGGTCTTGCTCAGGGTGGTTTCGAACTCCTGACCTCGAGCAATCCGCCCGCCTCGCTCCAGAGTGCTAGGATTACAGGCGTGAGCCACCACGCCCGGCCTGATTATCTTTCTGATTGATCTTCAAGTAATTCAGGTACAAGTCTGAAATGAAACCATCTCAATATTACCAGGGTAACTTTGAACAAGAATATGGTAGAGAGCACATGAACTTGTTCAGTTACTGTGACCTAACTTGTAAAGAATGATAAATTATAGCATTTGAAATGTCTCACAGTATAGTAGAAAAGATCATTTCATTAAGGAAACCACAGTAAAATTCTATTTCTTAGAACAGTATTTAAGGATCTTGAGACACTGGTAAATTACCAGAATAGAATTGTCAATTTTTATAAAAGGTCTTTGACACTGATGATTATAGTATAATAGTTACATAATGCCTTACAGATTATATATGTCACATCAGTTATAGACAATTCTAGAGATGATAATTTATTAAACTAGTTCAAAGAGAGTCCCACAGGAACCTCTTTTGAAATCACTGATCTCAACTTACTAAAGATATGGGTGTACAACATAAGTGGAAACATTTTCTACCATTCATATGCAGATTAATTTCATTCTAGCTCAGAAACATTTGGAAAATTGACATCACACGTGACTTCAAGCTATTAAATGTTAGTGATAGCATTTTAGAAAAACACAGTGGCTTTTAACATGTGACAGTTTGTGTCTCAAGTCAAAAATGGACAGTGATATGTAAGAAAATCAAATTATATAGTAAAAATCCCTATTACTATTGTGGAATAGGCTGTTTCTTCCCACAAAATCAGTGATGTTTCTGAGATCATAATGTTCACTATAAATTTGAAAGGATTTCTTTTTGTACAGCACTTAAGCAGGTAATCTTAAGACTGAGGTTCCTTGGAAACATGCTGAAAATTCTGTTGTCAAGAGTGTTAGAACCACTTGCCCTGCAAATAATTTATGAAGTCCTATTTTGTTGCAATAATCAGATAGCTTGCTATCCACTCAGATATTCATCAGCTTTGGTTTTCTTGCAGTTAGTAAATGTGCTTATTTGAAGCTGGGTGCAGGGCATATTAAAGACAAGATACTTTACATGTGGTAATGGGAGAATATAGAATAAATGACAGCAATTATACTTACTCAAAACTGAACCTGGCTAGCAGGCACACAAATCTGCAAGACTGGGAAGGCTTCTTTAAGGTAATCCCACCTTGGAAATGATCCTGGAATCCTGGTTGTCCCCTATTTATGAAGTTTTGGCCTGCTTATTGTTAAAATATCTCTTTAGATGAGTCTGTTCTTCAAAAAGTAACATTTAAAATAAACGTGTCATTCTTAGGGGAGGGGGCTGCTGATTAAAAATGCCCCATTCCAGACCTATTCGGAATCTCTGGGTGTGGGGACCCAGGAAAGTGCATTTTAAATAAGTACTTGAGGTGCTGCTTCTGCCTCACTCTTAGAGTAAAATCATGATACCTGTAAACCCAATTCTGATTTCCTACCAACTATAGCTGAGAACTCCTTATAGAAGGACTGCATCCAACGAAGACACTTAATCTTGTATTTAAAACCGTTATCAAATACTCTTGCTTTCATATTCCTAAAAACATGTAGGCAGAAACTTATACATGTTGAACTGAGTATATACTACTTAAACATGTTAGAAGTAGGTAAAAATATTACATGTGGTTGCATAATTTTTTTTAAAAGACTTCAAAATACCCAGGGAGTTACACTAGTACAAGAAATTCAGCTTTTAACAAATTACACATTTTAACTTTCTTCACATATTGCTGCATATTGCCATAGTTAAGAAAATAATCTTACTTTTATTTGGGAAAGAAGAAATAAATACACAATAGTTGAATTAGGTTCAAGAATCAAGCTCAATTTGTTTCCAAGTCTTAGAAGAACTTCTTTTGTATTGTTCTAGTTCCTAAAACAAAAATACATATGACTTTAAGAAAAATCAATAGTACAATAGGCATTTTAAAACTGCCTTAGCATTTTTAAGATATAATAAGGTATCTTATATAGCATTATCATTCTCAAGATTCTTGACAATTATTTTGTAGAGGTTTATACATAGAATTTATTTTTTAGAAACAGAAAGTCTTCAGAGTTTCTGTGTAGTCTAAGTGGCACTTAGAGATGAATTTATTAGAGTTTCAAATGAAATTATAAACTATATATAATAGTAGATACAAATTGTCTTTCAACTAATAAAATAGGACATTTGTCATTCTTCAGGTATTTATTTATTATTATTTTGGGGGAGGGACAGAGTCTCACTCTGTTGTCCAGCCTAGAGTGCCATGGCATCAGCCTAGCTCACAGCAACCTCAAACTCCTGGGCTCAGGCAATCCTCCTGCCTCAGCCTCCCGAGTAGCTGGGACTGCAGGTGTGTGCCACCATGTCTGGCTAATTAAAAAAAAATTTTTTTAGAGACAAGGTCTCGAACTCCTGGCCTTAAGCAATCCTACTGCCTCAGCCTCCTGAGGTGCTGGGATTACAGGCATGGGCCATTGTACCCAGCCAGTGGTCTTATTTTTAATTATTTACTATTAAGCTCTTGTCAAAAACTTGATTGAAGTTAGAAAAGTATTTAAAATGTATACATCCTTTGATCTAGTGATTCTACTTTTAGAAATTTATCAGAGAGATGAATTTCTACTATAATAATAGAGAAGAGCACAAGCATATAAATAGAAGGATACTCATTGCACTGTGTATCTCAGCACACAATTGGAAACAACTCAGATGTCTTCTGGTAAGGACTGATTAAATAATTAGTGTTCACTCACATGTGGCTTCCAAGGCAGCCAGCAAAAAGAATGATGGTCATATGTACCACATGAAAAAACCACACAGGTAGGGATAGGGCAGGATACTTCCATTTTCTATTTTATATACTTATATATCTTTTAATTTTTTTCACAATGAGTATATGTTAACTTTAAAATTCATAAAATAAATTTTAGTGGTGGTGGAAATCCTGCATGAGACAATTGACACGCAAGAGATTATCTAAAGGGATTGTCTACTGGCCTCCTACATGTTGTTCAATGTCTAAATAACTGTACAAAGGTTATTATTTTGAATAGGCAAAAAAAAAAAACTCTGCAAGATAAGGCAATCACTACCCTTTGGCTAACATAATTGAAGTTCATGGTTGCTATGAAAAGAAAATCCATTTTCATTTTCAGAAAAATTGCAGATTGTCTCTTTCATACCTATATTCTAGGTTATTAAATATAAATGTTATAAGTTTCAAAGCTGTATACTGACTTTGGAAGAATTTTTATAGTAATAATGCCAAAGTAGTCTTTACAGCTTGGTTTATTTTTCTAATGAAGTTAATTCAGTTCACCAGTTAGCTACCATTTATGGTTTCAAAGATTAACTCATAAAGAGTAAACCAATAGGTTATTGCAAATTTCATCTTTAACTGGAAGCGTTGAATTATTTTTACCAATGATAAAGGTGAGGACATTGTTTTGAGATTCTTTGCCAGCAGTAGCTCCTTTCTACAGATGGTAAACTGACAGAAAAATGGGGCTGGTCACACAGGCCATGACAGAGGGAGAATAAGGAGTAACTGGTATGCTACAGAACTCACCAAGGCCACTAGATCTTCAATATGCTATGAAGTGAATATTGCTATGATGTGAATTCCAAATAATATGATGATGTTTTAAAGGGTTAGCAAGTAAGAAGGTTTTCTTTTTTTTTTTTTTTTTTTTGAGACAGAGTCTCGCTTTGTTGCCCAGGCTAGAGTGAGTGCCGTGGCGTCAGCCTAGCTCACAGCAACCTCAAACTCCTGGGCTCGAGTGATCCTTCTGCCTCAGCCTCCCGGGTAGCTGGGACTACAGGCATGCGCCACCATGCCCGGCTAATTTTATATATATATATCAGTTGGCCAATTAATTTCTTTCTATTTATAGTAGAGACGGGGTCTCGCTCTTGCTCAGGCTGGTTTTGAACTCCTGACCTTGAGCAATCCGCCCGCCTCGGCCTCCCAAGAGAAGGTTTTCTTTATGTGATAATTTTTTGTGGCTGCTTTACAGAGCCATTGTAAGAGTGAATGAAAAACCAAGGTTTCCACCCTGACTCTTAAAAACCTCTAAAGTTTTCAGATATTAATGGGCCACAGTCTTATAATACTTAAAACAGCATCTTCAATAAAAGACAAGAACATTTTTCTCTAAACATGTGAGTCTGTGTGTTGAATTAAATTATAGGCCTACGATTATAACCAAGTTGATTTTTAAAATCAGGAATTCAAAATAGCTATCTGTGGTTGGCCAAGAAAATCTTAAAAATAATTGTTTATGGAAATCTTTTCCTTTTTTTTTTTTTGCTTTCTTTAACAAAAACATAGAAAAGAAATAGAAAGGCTCAGCAAGTGCTTTCTATACTCACATTATTCCCTTAAAATCAGGAATGTTTTAAAACTAGAGGGCTTAAAAAAAAAGTAGAAAATACTGCTGAAGTATTTTTTTGTGCCAGGAAAGACCCTTTTTTGCTAAGGAAAGACCCTTAGTCCGCTGTGAAAAAGGTCTTCCTACCAATCTGCTGACCCGGGAGGGTTGGTTTCATAGGTGGTGAGAATCTCCATGCATCTGTGGAGACTGAGAGCAAGAGGGATTCTGGTAGCTATTTTATTACAAAGACTTACAAATAAGATATTATGGAAAATTGTGGTGAAGTGTATCCCACACATGGGCAGGATTATTTAATATAAGTGTGGCTCAAATGCAGCTCTTCTGGGACATCTTTCTTGCCTAAAGAGTCAATGAGATTTGGGGCTTTTTTGAAGGCTTGAGTGTTGGAGAAATGGAATGGAACTCAAGAGTTTGCCTCTCCACCCTAAAAGGCACTGCTCTAATTTCACTGACAAGGCTTAAAGGCCCAGAAGCTCTTTTCTATTTCTGATAATTATTTAGGTCACTAATAATGGGACTTGGGAAAGGGGAGGAAGTCGAAAAGAGGCTCATATCTGGTCTCCTGCAGGCTCAGGTCCAGCCTTCCACTCATATGCAACTGTATTTTATTTATATATATGTATATTTTTTAATTTTTTTTAATTTTTTAATTTTTGAGACGGAGTCTCACTCTGTTGCCTGGGCTAGAGTGCTGTGGTGTCAGCCTAGCTCACAGCAACCTCAAACTCTTAGGCCCAAGCAATCCTACCTACTGTCTCAGCCTCCAGAGTAGCTGGGACTACAGGCATGTACCACCATGGCCGGCTAATTTTTTTTTCCTATATATTTTTAGTTGTCCAGCTAATTTATTTTTATTTATTTATTTTTTTTTAGTAGAGACAGGGTCTCGCTCTCACTTAGCCTGGTCTCGAATTCCTGAGCTGAAACGATCCACCCACCTCAGCCTCCCTGAGTGTTAGGATTACAGGCATGAGCCATTGCGCCCTGCCCAACTGTATTATATTTTAATGAAACAGGATGTCCTCTCTCCTTCCAAGAATCAAAAGTAACTCTTTGGGTTAAAGGTATGCAGGCATATAGCACGCAGTCTAGACTTTTTAAAACATTTACAGCTTGCTTTTAAGCAAGGACACATTCTTATAAAGTTATGGAAAATCCTGCTGGAGACCCTTAAAATTGGCATCAACTATTTTGTCTGTATAAAAACGAAAATATATTTTAAAATGTTGAGAGGGAAATCAAATTTTCTCATACTTAAGTTAGATTCTGTATGTATCAGCACACAGCTGAGAAAAAACTTAAGGTTCCAAAACTACTTTGAGAGAGCATGAAGTAATATTCAAATTTAAAATTTTGGATAGCTGAATGTCAAAATTTGGATTCAGTTATCAATTAAGTAACTGAGAAACACTGGTAATCATTAGGGTATCTTTAAAGCAGAAGCATAAAAAATTATGTTAAAGGTACTATGTGTGTAACCTGAAACCAATGAAATTCATCTACTAAAACACCACAAATGAAACTGGTTTAGAGGCAAAATTAGGATATTATAACTTTCCAGGTAAGTTAAAAAAATCTCTCAGCCAAGAGGTTGTAGCAACTGGTGAACTGGTAACAGTGAGGTACAAGAGTTGAGTGAAGAATGATATATATGGATACTGTGGGATTATCTTCCATTTCCACACAAAATTCCTATGGTTTTAAGTCAGTCTGGGGAAAAAGATTTGAATGTGAAAACTCATGATGTTCAGAAATACTCTAGTCCTTTAATGATACCTGTGCACGTGAACTTAATAAAGTGATTACTATGCAATATAAACAGATACAGTTATCTACAATGGCAGTCAATCATTGACTGCTAGATAAATAATAATCCAGGGATGACTTCCAATTAATCTCTACAGCCAAGCTGTATATATAATAAAGGTTACATGCGGTCATTTTACTGTTTATACAACATGCCTCTCACTTTGCTATAGCTACAAACAAAACCCTCTAAATGTTCATGGCATAGTTTTGAAAAGTTTTCTGGACTATGTTTAAATAAAATATTTTGTTTACTTATTTGAGGGCCCCTGAATGTGAAAGGTTAGTGCTGAGAAAAATACTCCAGTCACTGCTCTCAATGAATAGCTGTCCTCAGGTTACCCTTGTGCCACAGGGTTACAAGGTGCCTGCCCAGGTTATACTGCTCTACAAATCTTGCCTGAGAGGTTGTCAGTAATATAAGGTTACTCATATAAGGTCAGGTTCTGTACAATGTCTTATTTTATCAAACTGAAGAAAATCTAAGGTGTTTTTTTTTTTTTAGAAAAATTCAAGCATTTGGGGCATGTTGAATTTACCAACTCTTACATTCGTACGTCACACTTGTGTGTTCAAATGGCACTATCTAGGCATATATAGAATGGTAGTTTCCACTTCTAAGCATTTTCCTGAGAGATCCTGGGTTCTGTCAGGATGTCTGTGTGCTTTCAGACTGAGTAACTCTTAGCTGGACAAGATAATTTTTCTGGTATAAGAAAAGTATAGGTACATCTGAATGTCCTAATCAAAAACAAAACCTTTCAGATAACCCCATAAACCAAAGAATTTTAGGACTAAGTGGCTCTTCAGCAATGAGGTAAGAGATCACCACCTATCCTTAATATATAGTAAACTGGAAAATCAAAAGAGGATATAAACTGGAAAATCAAAAGAGGATATGTGAACATTAAGTCATCTCTGGATGGTGGAATGACAGGTGATTTTTAAATTTCTTCTTTAAGAATATTAGAATTTTTTTCTATGGTGCAAATATACTTATAAAATAATTTTAAAAGTAAAAAAGAAAACACTGGCCGGGCGCGGTGGCTCAAGCCTGTAATCCTAGCACTCTGGGAGGCAGAGGCGGGCAGATTGCTCGAGGTCAGGAGTTCGAAACCAGCCTGAGCAAGAGCAAGACCCCGTCTCTACTATAAATAGAAACAAATTAATGGGCCAACTAATATATATATATAAAAAAAAAATTAGCAGGCATGGTGCCACATGCCTGTAGTCCCAGCTACTCGGGAGGCTGAGACAGAAGGATTGCTTGAGCCCAGGAGTTTGAGGTTGCTGTGAGCTAGGCTGACGCCACGGCACTCACTCTAGCCTGGACAACAAGCGAGACTCTGTCTCAAAAAAAAAAAAAAGAAAACACTAAGTAAATACATTGAGAAAAATGTAAGGAATTCCCAAGGCATTTCAGATTCTATGATAAAACTCAGATAAAATTATGTAAATGTTTAAGATAATACCTGATCCTTTTGAATTCTCATCTCATCAACTTCGCTTTCAGCATACTGAGGATCTCGTGCGGGGTCCTTGATATCTTTTAGTGTGTTGATACTCTGAAATTACAATTCTCCAAATCATTTCATGCCCATGACCCAAAACCTTCAATGGCTATTATCTACCTAACAAATCAAGCTCCCATTCCTTAGCCTGGGACTGAAGGCTCTCTACCATCTTTCAAGGTTTTATCACCACCATTGAGGCCCATTTCAAATTCCAACAGGTACTATTGCTTTCTTCCCCTTTTGTATGTTTCTCCCTTCACTAATAGCCAGAGAGCTCTGTTTGAAAGTGAAGCAGGAATTGTGCCTTACTCTTCATTTAACCCTCATAGTACCTTATTTACAATAGATTTTTAGCACATGTTTAATTGATTTTTGAGCATGAGAGATAAAAACAAAGTTATCATAATAAGCCCTTTGGAACATTTTCTGTAACTGTTGAGTGGTGTTAAAAATTCTTGCTTTAAAAGAATTAGAGATATATACCTTTGGTGGAAAGAGCTTTTCATACACTTTTTTCCACAACTCCATTGGTGAGTGGGCATGCAGCTTTCCAATGTCATTGTCAGGAACTGGAGGAGATCCTAAAATTGGAAGTTTTACTTCAAATGACTGCATTGATTAAAACATTACAAACTCTACCAATAAAATAAATGACACTTATAAAAGTGTAAATCTTAGATCACTCATTTTTCCTTTCCCTAATGTACTCACCATTAATATTTATCCCTGCCCAGCATAGCAAGGCCACTGGACAGATTCTAGCATTGGAAGAAGAGGAGGCAAAGAGTAATGGACAAACTGTAATTCTTATTCTGCACACCCTACATCTATACCTATCGTATTAACCAGTATTTCCAGTTCTTGGCATTTATCTGCATATAGGTACTGTATTTTACCTGCATATAGGTACTGTAATATAAGGATTTCACACTGTAGCCTCATTTGTATTAGTAAAAATGTGACCACAATCAAAGTATCCATCAATGTGGACGGTGCACTAAGTTATTATGCATAGCCATGCTTTGTTAACACTATCCAACAGTTAAAATAGCAGATAGACCTATATATAGCATTAATATGAAAAAAGCACCAAGGCATATTGAATAAAAAAGGCAAATTTCAAAATGGTAGACACAGACTGATACTATTACGTTAAGGAAAATAGTTTTTTCTAAACCACATGCATACTTATGTAAATGCATAGGGAATTGTCTGGGAAGATACATATTAAACTCATTCCTTATATGTACTATTTTAACTTTTTACAAGGAAAATGTCTTTATGTATTGCTTGTATAATTTAAATTAATTTGAAAAAATTTTTAAATTTGCTGCCACTTCCTGACCACTTTTAATCAATTATATAGCCTGAGATTTTCCATTCTTTCTATTTCCAATATCTATATTGTTCACCAAAACTATTTCACTGTTGATCTTTTAGGACCTCCTTATCACTTTGGTGGAAAAGACATTATGCAGCTTTGCCAAGTTTCATTTCTACTCCTGTGTGTGTGTGTGTGTATTAAGTTCTATACAATTTTATCACCTGCATAGGTTCATGTGGCTGCCACCACAGTCAAGACACTGACTTAGTTCCATTACCACATTACCATACGGATCCTTGTGTTGCCCTTTTATAGACACACCTACCTCCTTCCTAACCCTTTACCTGGCCTCCCTACTCATAGCCTTGTCCCTGCCCTCCATTTCTAAAATTTTTTCATTTCAAAACTTTTATATAAATAGAATTATTTTGTATATAACCTTTTCTGATTGGCTTTTTTTTTTTCATTCCAGCTATGATTGCTCCTGAAATTAGTGAAGGGTTCTATGTATAGACAGGTTTCTTTTCTCTTCTTATGCTCAGTAGGTATTCGCTATGGTACAGATGTACCATAGTTTGTTTAGCCATTCACCTGTTGAAGAACCTCTAGGTTGTTTCCAGATATTTTTCTTTTGTTTTTTTTGTTTTCAGACAGAATCCTGCTCTGTTGACTAGGACTGGAGTAACTGAGCTGTGATGATAAGCTCCACTGCAGTGCTTTAACTAGCGCTGTGGCTCAGTGTATCCTTGAATCAAGTGGCAGCAATTTAAAATTTTTTCAGAATGTAATTTAAATTGCATAGCCAAAGTGATCCTTCTGCTTAGCCTTCTGAGTAGCTGGGTTGATACTAAGATGTTGTTACGATCGTGAATGCCGGCTTAATTTTTTCATTGTTTTTTTGTAGAGAATGGCGGCGGGTCATTGTTATTTTCCCAGGTTTTGTCTGATATCGTGGTTCCTTAATGCGATCCTCCACCCCAAGTGCCTTGGGCTTTTAGTAGGCATGAGGCACTGCACTTGTTTCCAGTTGTTTTTGTTTTTTTTTTTGTGTTGAGATGCGAGTCTAACTCTGTGTGCCTGGGGTAGAGTGCGTGTGGATCGCTAGCCATCAGCTAACTTCATGATTCCTGGGTCGTCGAGCATCCTGCGCTAGTTCGCTTCACGAGTTAGTCTTGGGTCTACAGGCACCGGCTTCTCATTTGTACTTATATTTTTGTGTGTGCAATTATTTCTTCGTATTTTTCAGTAGAGAAGGGTTGTCGTCTTGTTCAAGTGGTTTGGTGAACTCCCTGACTTAGGCATATCTCCTGCCTTGGCTCCCAGAGTGCTAGGATTACAGGCGTGAGCATGTGGCGCCAGGCCTGTTTCAGTTTTGTTAATCTCACTACGCAGTAAGCTGCTATGAACATTTGTATACAGATATTTGTGTGAATGTAAGTTTTCATTTCTTTGGAATAAATTTCCAATAGCACAATTTCTAGGTCATATGGTAGTTACATGTTTAGTTTGATAAGAAACCATCAAACTGTTTTCTGGAGTGGCTGTACCACTTTACATTCCCACCAGCAATGTACAAGTTGTATAGTTTCTCTGCATCCTAGCCAGTATTTGGTAGTGTCACTATTTTTTATTTTAGCTATTCTGATAAGTGTGTACTGATATCTCATTGTGGTTTCAATTTGTATTTCCTAATCACTAATAAACACCTTTTCATGTGTCTTTGCCATTTTTATGTCCTCTTCGTGAAATGTCTGCTTGTTTCTTGACCATTTTCTAAGAGGACTGTTTGTTGCTATTTTTAAACTGTTGGGTTCTTTATATATTCTAAATACTAGTCTTTTTTCAGATATGCAGCTTGAAAATATTTTCTCCCAGGCTATAACATGTCTTTTCGTCCTCATCATATGGGCTTTCACAGAGCAAAAGTTTTTAATTTTGAGGAGGCCTAAGCTCCATGACTTCTTAAATCCAGTAATTATCAACTCTCTTCTGACCTGCAACTATTCACATAGGCAAAAGTATTCCATCAGCGTTATCTATCAGTACACACAGTGATTCTCACTGCTACTGAAATTAAGTTGGTGCTAATGATAATTCTAAAAAATAGTCTCCATGACACATTAAGCAAAACCATCTCTATTCTTTTCATTTCAATTCAATCTATACACTCATTACAAAGATCTCTGCATTTGAAATCAAGTCACCTTTAGCTTGTAAGAGTAATAGAGGATGGGAAATGCAAAAATAAACTATTGCTCATTAGGATGTTAAAACCAAACTATGCCACCCCCAGAGTATAGAGAATTGCTAGACTCAAAGATCTTCATAATGCAAAAAGCTTCTGTGGAAAGATAAGGGGCTTTATATATAAACTCTTAAAGTTCCTTTTGATTCAGAAGTCTGTGGAGTCTATGAGTCTAGGAAATACATTCCATTAGTCATGCAAGCTATTTATATCATGAAAAATTAAGGCATATCTAATTGGTACAACTGTGTTCTTTCTGGTTTATTCTATCACTTCAATCTTTTTCATATTTGATCATTGCCCATAATAGGTAGCTTTAAATTTCCAGACCACTCTATGCTCCTGGTTTATTCTAAACCCAAGCAGCTAAAATTTAAAAGTACCTAGAAATCAGTGATGGAAAGGAAATACATGCAAATATTTTTAGTAGAACAGAGATCAGAAATCAGTCTCTTATGTGGCAACATCCCTTCTATCACAAATATGTTGATGTGATGCATGCTGCACCAATACTGAGTATACAAATAAAGACCTAGGAAATAACAGCAATTACAATGAAACTAGAAATAGGGTATATTGGAAACAAAGTGAACATGGAGTAGGATAAAATCAATAAGCAATTAAAAAGAGATTGAACAATCTTAATAAGTTCACCAACCTATTTGACTTAAAGAATCCAATCCTGCTGTGATAAACAGTGGTTTATTCTGATCCACACATATTGATTTGCTATGTGGAGAAGAAAAAAAGATTCTAAATAAGTTTAGCAGTTGAATATACTTTAAGAGTTTATAAACATGAGAGCCAAGGTTTACATCTAGCCATGTATGACAGCATTGCCCCTAATGAATGAGTGAATATCAACTGAAGTGATTTCAAAAGTTAAATATAGCATGAATAAAGGCTTTACAGGAAAAAAGTGACATACCCACATTATCTTAAATCAAAACCAAGAGAAGTAGCAAGGCTTAGAAGATAACATACTAAAACTTTCAATTCTGTTTCAAATCAATATAAGAAACTAATAAGAGAGGGAAAGCTACTAAAATGTGGGAAAATAAGTAAAAGAAATCTAGGAACAAGTGTAATAGTATCATTATTCTATTCCAGTGTCAAACTAAATATTATATATCATTTTGGTTATAAAATTTGAGAAATATTTAAGCAATATAAGAAGCAGGAGATAATATGCAATTATCCCTTTGAGAACAGCTGTCTGGGACAGTTTCCTGGTCAAGAAACAAATGACTTAGATGAGAACAATAATCAGATAAGACAACACTGCTAAAATAAACAAATAAATAAAAAGATACAAAAAATATTTTAACAGTACCTTTTGTCAATGCCAAATGCCAATTGGTTGATAACTCCACGTATTTTTAGTAATAGAGCTTCTGATTTACTGGTAAACTGAAAAAAAAATCAGGAGAATAAATCATATGCTCTGTTTTCCAATCACAGAAACAGGTAACATAAATATGGCTTTGAATAAGTACAGATTGCAGAGAGAATTACTAACTACTTGCCCAGTAAATACTTCTGTTTGAGTAGACAAAACAAAACCTGAATAAAGAAATCTTGATAAATTTGTTTTAACTCATTCTTCAAACTTCATGAATGCATGATGTGGAAAGGACTTGTGTTTATGCAACTAATCATTTCAGCTACTCATACAAATTGGTCATAATCATAGTCAAAGAATTCCTTAAAAATGTATATATGTATGTGTGTTTATGTGGTATGTGTATTTGTGTGTAAACATACTCTTATTGTTGTCTAAAATAAAATTTTCGAAAATGCAATTGGGTTGGTTAGAAAATAAGAGGTATAGGCCGGGTGCGGTGCCTCATACTTATAATCCTAGCACTATGGGAGGCTGAGGTGGGAGAATTGTTTAAGTTCAGGAGTTCAAAACCAGCCTGAGCAAGAGTGAGACCCCACCTCTACTAAAAATAGAAAGAAATTAATTGGCCAACTAAAGATATATAGAAAAAATTAGCCGGGCATGGTGGTGCATGCCTATAGTCCCAGCTACTCGGGAGGCTGAGTAGGATTGCTTGAGCCCAGGAGTTTGAGGTTGCTGTGAGTTAGGCTGACACAGGGACTCTTGCCCAGACAACAGGGCAAGACTCTGTTTCAAAAAAACAAAAACAAAAACAAAAAACCTGCTCTGCTGAACTTTATTTCTTTTGTGGGAAAGGAAAAAAAATTTTATGGAAAATGTATTTCATACAATGTAGAGTAGGGCTGAGAGAACATCAGAAGTTTTCTAGGCCAGGCATGGTGGCACACACCTGTAATCCCAGCACTTTGGGAGGCTAAGGCAGAAGGACCAGCCTGGGCAATGTAATGAGACCCTGTCTCTACAAATAAAAGAATAAAAAATTACCTGGTGTGTTGGAATAGGGCCATTGTACTCTAGCCTAGGTGACAGAGTGAGACCCTATCTCTAAAAAAAAGGACCTTTTCTAACCCAACCCCTCAATCTGCTGCATCAATCACCTCTAAAACACTCTCCACAAATAGCTGTAGACCTTCTACTTAAGTAAACTCAATGCCTGGGAACTCATCTGGCAACTCATTCCATTTTCAGATAATGGTAGCATCAGAAAGTTCTTTCTTATTTTGAATAAACTCTCTCTATTGGTTCTTTTTCTTGATTCTAGGAGAACAAAGAATAAATTTAATCTTTTTTCCACAGAACAGTCCTTCAACTGGTTAAAGAGAATTATTACATTTTAGATGATATTATACTGGTCCTCATATAGCATATTAAGTTCCCTACCATCCTTGTAGTTCTCCTCTGTATCTGTTCCTACTTATCAATATTCTCCTGGTTTTGTTTTTATTAACTTTATTATTCAGAATATTGAATCAATATTCTCAACTGAACTATAAAGGATCAACTATAGTGCTAGAAAAAACCTGCTAAATATCATGTAATCTTGCAAAGCAGTACCCAACTAACTTTCTCCCTTAAATGGGGTAGAAGGTAAGCGCAGATGTAAAACTGAAAGATGGCACTTCGATAACACTGGCTATACTCTTCTTGGTTCGGGAAGCTAGAAAGGCCTTATGTTTCCTTTGGTGGTCTTGGAGTATCCACTAACCCAACCTCTGTTTCCCTTGAAAACTAAGATGAAGCGCTTCTCAGATCCTTTCCTTGGTCCCTGATCTTCTAGGGTCTTCTGAGCATGGGTAATCCCAGGCCTGTGATGGCCTGCATTGATTTGGCTTTATCTACATTTTTAACCATAAGACCAGACTGGGCCCTGAATGCTCTTTAAGTGTGATCTGTTCCTAAAAAAATATAAGGATTTCCCTTAGCTAACTTTAACCAGAATTAAATGTGTGGCCTTATCTAGTGGCAAAAATAAGAAACTGCAAGGTTGTTGTCTCTCTATCCTGGATGAGGCATTCACTTTAAATTTCCCATATCTTTTCAAAATATTAATAGTAGAGAAGAATGCTTTCCAAAGCACTCTGTCAGTCGACCTAATATATAAGCAAATATAATTCAAATATAAAAGGTATTATTTTTAAGAAAATACATAATGAAATGTGGAATGTTCTGAAAAGTATGAGAATTGAAAATACATATTGTAGATATTACTTTCAGTCATAATATCCTAGCCATGAAGGCAAGGCCTAGACCATGTTTCTCTAGGTTCATCTGAGTGATTTGATTTGGAGGAAAAAACAAACTATTCAATAATCATTCAAATATGAAGGAAGTATTTTTTCAAACAAAAATGCTTTTATATTTTATTACATTAAAGGACATCCAGCAAAATTTGGTCCTGCTATAGAAGATAATGATAACAGTAATTATAATAACCAACATTGATTCATTTTTTTTTTTTTGAGACAGAGTCTCATGTTGCCTGGGCTAGAGTGCCTGGCATCAGCCTTACTCACTGCACTCAGACTCTGGTCAAGCAATCCTTCTACCTCACTCCCCAATAGCTGGGACTGTAGGCATGCACCAGCCATGCTGCTTTTTTTCTATATATTTTTAGAAATATTAATTGGAATTTAGAATTTATTTTGTCCAGCTAATTTCTTTCTATTTTTTAGTAGAGATGGGGTCTCACCCTTGCTCAGGATGGTCTCGAACACCCCAGCTCAATCAATCTGCCTGCCTCAGTCTCCCATAGTGCTAGGATTACAGGCATGAGCCACCGCGCTCAGCCTTTTTTCTTTTTTAAGACAGCGTCCCACTCTGTTGCCTGGGATAGAGTCCTATGGTATCATCATAGCTCACTGCAACCTCACACTCCTGGGCTTAAGCCATCCTCCCACCTCAGCCTTCCAAGTAACGTGGGACTATATAGGCACATGTCACCGCACCCGCTGTTTTCTAGAGCTGTTTTTTGTAGAAACAGGATCTCATTCTTGCTCAGGCTGGCCTTGAACTCCTGACTTTAAGTGATCCACCCACCACAGCTTCCCAGAGTGTTAGGATTATAGGCATAAGACACTGCACTCAGCCTAACCGGGTAATACTTTGTTCCAGGCCCTGTGCTAAGTATTTCACATGTATTCCCTCTTTTAGTTCTCGTAAGAACCCTATGAATAAGGTACTGTTTCTCTCCATTTTACCATGGAGAACTGTAAGGCTTAAGTGAGATTAAGTGACTTGCCTTTTGAAATCACATGTGTAGTAAATAGTTACCCTAAGATTTGAACCCAGGTAGCATGACTTCAGAGTTCATGTTTTCAACATCTATAACAAACAGCATTTTCTTGTTTTTTAAATATTTATTTATTTATTAATTTAGAGACAGAGTATCACTCTGTCATCCAGGCTGGAGTGCAGTGGCCTCATAATAGCTCATTGCAGCCTCATACTCCTGGGCTCAAGCAATCCTCCTGTTCTGCCTCTGCCTCCAGAGTAGCTGGGTCTACAGGTACATGCCACCATGCCTGGTTAATCTTTCTCTTTTTTTGTACAGATGTGTCTTTTGCTCAGGTTGGTCTCAAACTCCTAGTCTCAAGCAATCCTTACCACTTGGCCTCCCAAAGTGCTAGCATTACAGGTGGAAGCCACCAACCATGGCCTAAATAGTACTTTTTAAAAGTAAAAACAATAACAATACATTGTTAAAATTTTTGTTTGTTTTTCTTTCAAGGGAATATGATTCTAATTCTTACGGGGAAACTAAAAAATAAATAGATCACCAATTTATCTCTTTAAGCTTGATTGGGGTTTATGGAGATAAGCACTTTAGAACTTCTGTTCCAAAGAAAGGGTAGGCCATCTAGCAGTATATATTCTATGGATGCATTAGCAAACATTCTATAAGAAGAGGTCTTTGACAATGGGAAAGAAAAGGAGAGGACCCATGTGCATTAGCAAAAGTATTTATTATTCATAGCTGTGAATCCAGTTGCTAATTTTTCCAAATTTGGTACTGTCCATTCAAGCCCAAAGGATAGGAAATGTACAAACCATTAGTGATGCTCCATAATAATGTGCAACAAATCGAAGTGTCTTGCATATTACTTTTCTCTTCTCAGAGTCAAAATCCTGGAGAAAAAAGAAAAAAACAAGTAGAGAGAACTAAGTATCTATAGCAGGAAAATGCAAATTATTAAATATACAAATAGATTATTTATTTTGTTAAACCTATCCTGAGGAGTAGGATTCCATTACCTTGATATGTTTCTGTAGAGAGTTGAACAATAGCTGCAGCCTTGAAGAGCTACAGCTATCAGATCTTTCTTTGTTTAAACACTTAGCTCAATAGAATTTAGATATAAGCACACATTTTATATTGTGGAATACCCCAAAGATTCTGACAAGCAAAGACAGAGGAACTAATTTTCTATTTTCTTCAATTTAAAAGTTGGAAAATAAGTCCTATTCCTTGATGACTGGGTTGAAGATTAATTTTCTAAGTCTTGTGCCTTATCCCTACTTTAGCCACTGTATTCATTTTCTTTACCTATTTTCTCTGTTTCAACTATATCTTTTCCAAAATCTTTACGATGTGTGACTCCTTATCCTATATCCCTCCCAAAGTCATTTTCTTATTTCATCATTATTTTTGTACCTCCCCCATAAAAGCGTAACTATGCATATACAACAAACCAGTTAGAAGTAGAAGAGCTTACCTGAAAAATATCATATTTACTTCCAATTATGACCAGAGGTATTGGAAATGGGTCAATTAATTCACGATCCTGTTAATAAATATATTTCATTAATTATAATTGTTTATTGCTATGTGCTCAGAAATTTCTATTTACTTCCAAGAATATTCCACTTTCAGTCTCTTCTGTTAGTGTTGACTTTGTTTGCTTGACATACAATTTGTTCTAATATTTAACTTTCACTTACTAAACTATATTTCTTAAGTATAAAACTACAAACAGCAATTCCCTAAATTACTATAGTATTTATTCTTTTCTTTTTTTCTGCCCTTTTATTTCCTTATATAACATATTATCTTCCTAACTTTTTTTCTTTCTATTTTATGTTAACTAATTGTTGCAATAGCATTTAAATGGCATGGATTTGTTTTGTTCTAATATTACCTATGTGAAACACATTCTTAGAAACCTTGGGCAATATAAATGCTGTTCTTAGCCTGCTAGATGATGATGTTCATGATTGTATTTAAGGAACTTGTGTTACCGTCACAACAGCTTTATAATTTAATAAGCTGTCAGTTCAGATGATCAAAAGATATTGAATATGTGACAGGCACTAAATGAATGTAAAATACAGAGTGGCGACGAAAGCTATTTAAACTCTACTCTTTGTTTAAATTTGTAACTTTATCTAGTCCTTGCCAGGTGAGTTTTATACAGTCTGGTTTTTTATATTCATTAAAAAGAGATTATAAAGTCAATATCAAACTACTACTTTAAAACTCTATTTCTTTGATTGGTGTAATATGCCATAATAATAATCACAGTAGATGTCTGTTACCAAAAGTTTGGTACTTGTCCCCAAGGTGAACGAAGAATAAGGACAAGTCGTTTGAGTAAAAGGAAAGAGTTTATTAATATGCTGGCAAATGAGGAGAATGGCAGGTTCTCTCTCTCTTTTTTTTTTTTTTTTTGAGACAGAGTATTGCTCTGTTGCCCTGGGCTAGAATGTAGTGGCATCCTCATAGCTCACTGCAGCCTCAAACTACTGGGATCAAGCTATCCTCCTACCTCAGCCCCCTGAATGAGTAGGACTATAGGCATGCCACAACACCTGCTAATTTTTCTATTTTTAGTAGGGAAGGGGTCTCATTCTTGCTCAAGCTGGTCTTGAACTCCTGAGCTCAAGAGATCCTCCCACCTTGGCCTGTCAGAGGGCACAGGGATGAGTTTCTTGGAAGATAATTTTTCCACTGACAGGATGGGGGGAATGGAGGAATGGGGGTGGGTGGGAGCTGGGGAGGTGCACAGAACTCAGGCAGTAATGCGAGCTGACAGGGAAGCAGCTGTAAATACAGATGAAGCTCACCTGCTGCTCACCTCCTGCTGTGCAGCCAGACTCCTAAGTTTCATGGAAGACAATTTTCCATGGGTGGAGGGGCAAGGGTTGTGGGGAGGCAGAGTTCAGGTGATGTTTCATGCCCTGGTGCCTCAGGGGTTGGGGACTGCAACCTTAAAGAACCATTATCCCCCCCTTTAAACAGAAATACAGAGTTTTTAAAGGGTTTTCACGTTCAGGCTATTGCTATTTAACTATAGCATCTCTGATGAAGATGATCTCATGATCTCTGTCTGGCTAATTCTGTTGAGCCACCTCCCATGGTTTAAGATACCAGAAAACAAAGAATAAAGAACACTCCTCTGCCCTGAAGATTACTGGCATGGGAAGAAATGCAGGTTTTAATTCCTCAAAAGGGGTTTTAAAGAGAAAACTCATAAAATGTTTTGTCCTTTTTCAGATTCTTACTTCTGTTTCATAACAAGAAAACATCAGAAATCCTTTTCCTTAGTTTGCTTTTACTGAAGTTTTATTAAATTGCTATAATTTTCCAGTGAACAGGTTCATCTACATCAAATGAATTTCAAGTCATACATAAAAATCTAAAGAAGTTGTTTGCAGTATTACCATTAACTATATGGGGCTAAGGATTCCAGGAAGAATCCCAATAGCAACTCACTGGATGGTCCTTCTGCATATTACTCCACATCTTCTGTCTCATTTCAGAAGCTGCTTTAGAATTTGTCTTTCCCAGTTTCATCATCACTTTATCTACATGGCTCCTTGTGGCTTGCAATAGATTTTCCATGGTGGGCCAAAGATCATTAGGCTTTGAAAGATCCAAAACAAGAACAATGGAAAATGTCCTAAAGAAATAAAAACATCTTTCAAAAAGGACTCAAAATAATTACCATTTTGAAACTCTAGTGTAGGGAATTTATCTAAGAATAACAACACTATAGACTAAGGGGGAAAAAACATGGCATTATTCCAAGACCAAAAAAACAAAAACCCCGAAGTTATAGCCTTGTTTATTCCAACACTTTTCTTTAGTGATATTTAAGTGTTACAACCAATAGTGGCACAGACGTTTTTGTTTGAACTAAAAATAATCCAGTTCAAACACAGAAGCTGCAAGCAGTTGAGTCCAATAGTACCATGTTAGATCCAAGTTTACTATGTGCTCCAAAGAAGTGAAGCAAAAATAATGAGTAGCAGCAGCAACATAACAATCAAGGAAAAGGAAATAGATTTACAGACTAGAATGGACCTAGTTAATCTTCATAACAACCTCTTCTAGAAGATTTTATAATGTCCTTTTACGGATTAGAAGTCTGAGGGTCAGATTTATGTAACTAGTAAGTTGTAGAACTGGTATTTTGATACAAAGTTACATGTTTTTCTGCTATACCATCCCGCCTTTCTGAAAGCACACTCCTGACCACCAGATATGCCACCACCATCATCACATGCGACTGTACTCTACTCATGTGCAGCGAACATAAATCTAAACTGAGCAACAAAAACAAACAACCTACTTAAAAAATGGGCAAATGGCTAGGTGCAGTGGCTAGTGACTGTAATTTCAGCACTTTGGGAGACAGAGGTGGAAGGATTTTTGAGACCAGGAGTTCAAGACCAGCCTGGGCAACATAGCCAAATGTCATCTCTATAAAAAATAAAAAAGTTAGCCAGGTGTGGTGGCTAGTGACTGTAATCCCAGCTACTTGAGAGGCTGAGGCAGGAGGATTCCTTCAACCCAGGAGTTCCAGTCTGAGTGACAGAGTGAGTCTCTGTCTCTATTAAAAAAAAAAAAAAAGAAAGAAAGAAAACGTCAAATAACTCAAATACAAATTTCTCCAAGAAAGATATACATATAGCCAATAAGCACATCAGAAGATGTTCAACATTACTAATTATTAGGGATATGTAAACCAAAATGATAATGTATCACCTAATACCCATTAGTATAGCTATTGTCAAAATATTTTTTTAAAAAACTAGAAAATACACATAGGTACTACAGTAATAGGGTATTGGGCAGGGGGGAGGGGAGAGGGGGGCGGTATATACATACATAATGAGTGAGATGTGCACCATCTGGGGGATGGTCATGTTGGAAACTCAGATTTGTGGGGGGAGGGGGGGAGGGCATTTATTGAAACCTTAAAATCTGCACCCCCATAATATGCTGAAAAAAAAAACTTAGAAAATAACAAGTATTAGTGAGGATATAGAGAGACTGGAACCCTTGTGCATTGCTTGTGGGAATGTAAAATGGTACAGCTGCTGTGGAAAACAGTATGGCAGATCCCCAAAAAATTAAACACAGAATTAACATATGACCAGCAATTCCACTCCTGGACTATACCCAAAAGAACTGAAAGCAGAGATTTAAACATATTTGCATACCAGCATTATTCACAGTAGTCAAAAGGTAGAAACAACACCAATGTCCATGGATAGATTAATGGATAAACAAAATGTGGGGCTAGGCTCATGCCTGTAATCCTAGCATTTTGGGAGGCTAATGCAGGAGGATAGCTTGAGGCCAAGAGTATGAGACCAGCCTGGGCAACTTAGGGAGACCTTGCCTCTACAAAAAATAGAAAAAGTAGCTGGGGTAGTGGTGTGTGCATGTAGTCCCAGCTACATGGGAGGCTGAGGCAAGAGGATTGCTTGAGCCCAGAGTTTGAGGCTGCAGTGGAGCTATGATCATGCCACTGCACTCTAGCGTGTGCAACAGAGAGACCTTATCTCAAAACAAACAAACAAACCTCAAACTCCCTAAAAAACAAAATGTGTACACACACACACACACACACATATACACACACACACTGAAATATTATTCAGCTTTATAAAGGAAGGAAATTCTACTACATCATGGATGAACCTTGAAAACATTATGCTAAGTGAAATAAATCAATGAAAAAGGACAAACATTGTATGATTTCATTTATATGAGTTACTAGAGTAGTCAATTTTAGAGAGAAAGGAAGTAGGTGTTAGGCTTAAAGAATTTACCCTCCCTAAACTTCCATCCAAACAGCCTATAAACCACCACTCTCCCCTTCCTAGGGGTGTATTAGGCAAGTAGCCTTTGCCAGACCCTTAGGGAGATAAGGGAATGAAATGCAAAAGGGGAACTTACTTTCCTTATCCCTCCTGGTTGTTTGAAAATAATTTATTTACTCTTCCCAGAAAAACCCTTTATAAAACCCAAGGCTCTTCCTTTTTCTCTCCTGGATGCCTTTTTTCAGCCACCACCCATCTGTACCCAGATGTTCAAAATAAATAGCATTTTGCTGCATATGAGGCTTCGTGTGTCTCCCTCTCAGCTCTGAACGTAACAGTAGGGATGATGATTGCCAGGAGGTAGGGGAGGGAAAGATAGGGAGATTTTGTTTAGTTAGGTACAGAGTTTCAGTTTGGGAAGATGAGAAATTTCTGGAGATCGATAGTGGTGATGGTTATACAACAATGTGAATATACTTAATGCCACTGAACGGTACACTTAAAAATGACTAAAATGGTAAGTTTTATGCTAAGTATATTTTACCACAATAAAAACCAAACAAATATAAATTTAGAAGTATTCTAGAAAATGGTTATTATAAGTATGTAGAAACATCATCATGGGCCAATATATCTTTGATCAACAGGGGAAATATTCTGCTAGAAGGTATAGCAAGAAATTATAATATATGTTACTTAATTATTTTGTTTAGTTCAAGCAAAACAGCTATTTTGTTTCACTCAAGCAAAACAGTAACTAAATGCTATACTGTTGGTCTAAGTTCAGAAAATAGTCTTTCACACATTAATTATTAACATTTTCTAAAAATTATTGCTCTATTATATTGCCTAGCCAATCATAACTATGACATTTTAATAAGCTCATAGATAGTTTTGCTTAACTGTAAAAGTAATAGAATATATACGTTTTTAATAGTAAGGAAATTAATTTAATTTTCAGGGTTTTAATATGGTTATTTATTTTTGAAAGAAAAGATGACCATGGTTTCACTTTTTTTACTGTGGTAAAATGGATGTAACATAAGATTAATTATTTTTTAAATGAAAAATAACTTTGTTTTAAGCAAAAGACAAATGGATTAATCATTTTTTTCCAAGATTAAAATGTTTGTTTACAGTATATTGGAAATACTTGTGTTACTTTTTACCTATTTCATAGCAAATGATAGCTAAAAAAAATCATTTTTTAAATAAACTTTTAAGACAGGGAATCAGAATCTAATAGTAGTATCTAATAGTATCTAAATAGTATCTAATAGTATTTGGCAATATTATTGTCTCAAGTTGATGGGCTTTGTACAACACAAGGAAATTATGTGACAAATTAATTCCAGTCAAAAAACACTGAGATTAGCAACTACATTAAGACTCAAATGTTTTCCATGAATTCTTTAACCAATTGGCAATCTACTTTGGACCCAGGCCTACGGCTCTGTTTCCCTCTCTGTTCATTATAACCCTGACCCTTCCTCTCTCCTAAAGCAGACTCAAGCTGTCCTAGACCTCTAGGGAAGGGAAGACCAAGACCTCACAAAATAAGGTATTAAAGAAGCCTTGGAAAGATTTGGCTTCTGCAGAAATTTCCACTACTTTTCCACTTTTCATCAGGTGTGAACTCTCTTGGGCCTAGAGAAGGGGAGTGAGGTAATGTATCAAGTCTGGGCCAGAACAGGAGCCAATTCACAACCCAGGTAAGAGCTGGCCTCTGCATTTCTACCCTTTCAGCCTCTGGCCAGCCTAACTAGCAACCTGGTTTCCTTCAGCTGCTCCCCACTCTCTCTTACCACATGAACTATGAGCTATCCTAATTCCTAGGCAGCTTTGCTTCTTTGTCTCCCTTAAAGAGAGACAAATGAAAAACTATATACCTATAAAATTTCATGTTTCTAAAACATAGTAATCATAGGCAAAAGGTGTTTAAAAGTGAAAAAGCAAGATCAAAAAATATATATAGATATATATCTCTATCTAGATATATATCTCCCAAATCTGTACAAAGTATATCTACAAACACCAAAAAGACTGAAAGAAATACCTCAACATATATATATTTTTAAGGCTGGTCAAGTGAAGCAGCGGGAGTGGAGAAGGAACAAAGGACCTCAGCATATCAATAATGTTTCTTTCTTATGTGATTCTAGGTGCTTTTACTTTCTTTATATGTTTCAGCATTTTTTCATGTTTTCTATATGAGTACATATCACTTTTGTAATAAGTAAAAGAAAGCAAATTATATTTCACTAAAAGAAAAAAAAATCAATAGACAAATAAAGCCAAAATTACCTGCTTCCAGCCAGTTCTGGAAAAACAATTGTCTAATTAACAAGAAATAATTCCATACTCTAAGGAACTTAATGGCCAAAATGTAACAAATAATTGCCAAGTCCTCTGTATTTGATCCAGGCAGCAGCAATGGTTTGTGTTAAACTTTGACAAGAATAAGATAGTTCAGATTTAAAAAATTTTGTTTTTCTTGGTTAAGATCAGTTCCCAAGAACATTGTGAGAAATGTCACAATTTTCTCATATGATTTAGCCAACATGTGGGAGTTATTGTCAGGAAAATACCACTCGAGGGTTTTGAGGTTGTTCCCCTAGGTTCTATTTCTTTAAGGTCAGCAAATGGAGAGATTTTCTTTATCCTTCAACACAGTCTTCCTTTGGATACAACTTCAATAATATTAACTAGCATTAAATTCAAAAGTAGACTTTTAATATCCAGCTGAAGAAAAAACTCAGAGCTGAATTAACTCACACTGAGATGGATACCAGAAAGAGTTAAGCTTTTCAAATATTTTTGCCAAATGAATTTATTGTCCAAGTGTTATTTGACATATTTTTTTTGTTTGCAGGCTTGCAAAATATGTTACTAGAGGGAATGCCAGCTATCTCACTTCAGCACAGGCCAGAATCTTTGTTCTTTTAAAACCTCTTTGAAAACATTACAGTTTAAGCAATACAAAGGAAGTGGACATAAGCTTTCAGCAACATAAAACTGTCTCACTAAAATTCTGACTCACAAATCCTACTCATATTCTTCCTGCAGACACTACTGTGTACTTACAACTCTTCTCAGAGCTGGCTCACTTACCGTAAGGTGTCACTTGTGATTGGTATGCTGATTAAGTCCAATAAAGAAGTTCCTCCACCCAATTCCCAAAAGTGTGCAATATCTTTTGGCTGAAAAAACAGGTTTTTTTAATATTAAAAATTTTTGATTTTTTGAATTTTAAGTACTTCTTATACATCACTAGCACCTGCCAGTAATAATTATAGATCCAAAATATTGTAGTCCTTAATGAATCCTTTCTTGGCAGTTAAAACTTTCTCCTGTCTCTATCTCATCCCTCAAAATGCACAAAGCACCTATTCCAAAGAACAAAGATGAGACATTATGAATATATTGTCTAGGTGTGTATATAAATGCCCTAATTCTAGTAATACCTTAATAGAAGACACAAATAATACCCCAGTTTTATATCACGTGTAGCATACACTTATGCAAATTTTAAATAAAATTAACCAGCTGAACACTTTGATATTATTTTTTTTGAAAAACATTTCTAATTCTAGATAGATAAAACATTTGAATAGGAAAACATCCTGATTTAGGAAGTGAGAAGCTCACAAAATGAATTAGACACAGAGATGAGGCATGAGGAAAGCAGATGAACAGATGGCAGTCCTGGCTGCAGATGAGGATTACCTGAGCAAAAGTATAAGCAGACAATCTGGGCCTGATCCCGTGGGGAATCTCACAGGCTACCACTGACAATAATACGTGGCATGTGGAGGAACAAGAGACCAAACAACTGCTTCTCTTTTTATAGGGCTCTCAAAATAAAAGGGGATTGACAGGGCTAGGCAGCCAAGAAGTTCAGTAATAAAATCATCTATTCCTTGAGAGCCTTCCTAAGCTGCTAGCTAATGGCATTTCTGCTTCTGCCTTGACGTTGAAGAGCCTCCAAGCCACCAAAATTGGCTAAGGAACTGACAAAGTGCTTCTATTTAGAACTCTTAAGGAATATTAAATCTGAGAAAGACATGAAGCTTCCAGAATGAATATGAAAACACCCCACTTGATAGCACAAAGTTCAGAGAAAAATAGGTGAAAAAGAATCACATGAGTTTTTATATATCTACCATGAACCTGGAAGAGACAGATTGTCATCAAGGCAAATTTTTAATGAATATATATTATTTTGTGTTTTTGACAAATTCTCATCTAGTAATCTCTACAATTATTATTTTGTTGTTGATACTGAATCATTAATGTGTATGGGAAAAATGATTTTTCATATTTCCCTCAATTCACAATTTGAAGAAGGGAAGTTTTTAAAGCTCTTCTCAAAAGTTAAGCTTGTAAAAGCTGTCTTAAAGTTTCCAATAAAAGTATAATTACATTTCTTGGCTTATCACTCATGTCGAAATTCATGTGAGTCACCAAAATGAAGTTCTCCTGCATCTCAAATGTATCATGTTTTTTCTTTTCTTTTTAACTTCACAGTTTTAATAACCAACTTTCGGTGGAAAATCCAGGAAGTAACGACAGGCAGTTTCAACTCTTTATATTGATATTGTCTAATGAGCAAACATTTGAACTAGATCAGTGTATAAAAATTTTGCTTTGTTATGGAAATAATGGGATGCTGTGTTCTAGATTGTTCTTCCATAAGCCATACCTTATTTAAGAAATTACCTCTTTTTGTGTGAGAACTCCAAAAAGATTCTATTTAGGAATTCACACCCTCCCCCATACCCTGCACTTAATGTACACTATAAATTCTCCCTCTATCTGGAATAGTTTATAACCTTCCTCTGAAGAAACACCAAAACAAGTAAAAACAGGATTATAATCAAGTAATAAGGCCTGTGGTCTCAGTACTACCCACTTCAAGATATATTTAAAAATGCTAATAATTTAGATTTTAAACAGCATATTTTCATAAATATTCTATAGGTCAAACTCATATTTTTAGCAGATTTTAAGGAGAGACAGAAAGTAACTTACAATATTATTCTCCAAAATTGTACAATAAAGTTAAAAAGGAATCTTATTCCAGCATTTTGAGATATAACAAATGAGAAGGCTAAAATATTTTCACAGTTTGGGTTGGCTTCATATCTGCTGAATTGCATTTGAAGTTTAACAGTACATAGCTATGAAGTACACAATTGGATAAGATGGAAAATGTAAAACAAAGTCAGCATCATTACTTCCCCATCACCAGGCCTAGGAATAAAAAGACACTTAAAAAGACACTCACTGTGTTATGCCCTTTTGCTCTTCTTCCATATGTATATTCCAAAGCTAAGGTTGGTTTTGGTGGCTCATCTCTGTACAATAAAGGCAGATAGTATCACCATTGTGGGTGGGGTATTAGTTTCTTATGCTATGATCTTACCTGATTCATTTTTACTTCCTCTTAAACACTTTATTAGTAGAGGTAACCTTGGTAATAGCACTGAGGTAAAAAATGATTAAAATTATATATAAAAAATACATTAGCCTTCAAAAATCCATTTTAGTGGATTTTAGTGGCAGCTGCAGAGGTCAATAATGGCATTTACATGATACAGCAGCCCCTAAAGGCACTGGAGGGGTGAATGGACAAGGCAATGGGGTCAGCAGTGTTGATGGTCATGTTGGGGCACAAGCTCTCCACATGTAGGCCATGTGGGAAGCACTGACATTGGGCTGATGCTCAGCCTTGATGTAGTGAGCTGGGAACCTAATAATTGTTAATTTAATGGGGACATCAATCCAAGATTTTAATGCAGTTCTCTATGTTAAATAGAGAACAAACATGGTGCCATTTTGGAGAACAAAATGATGCCATTTAGCTAGTGAGAGTTTTAAACAAACAAATTGCCTCACTAAGTCCTTAAAATCAACAAATGATTACATTAACGTGGATAGTCCTTCAAAGAAACAATTTTATTGGTTAAAAGGATTACACAAACCAAGATTCTATTATTTGTATTCTTTAATAATATTTTTCAAATGAATGGTATTTCTTTAACATGACCTTTAGACCAAATTTCATCTTTTTGGAAAAGTTATGAGAAATATGCATTAGAATGAAGGGAACAGGCCAGGCATAGTGGCTCATGCCTATAATCCTAGCACTCTGAGAGAAGGAGGCAGGTGGATCGTTTGAGCTCAGGAGTTTGAGACCAACCAGAGCAAGAGCAAGACCCCATCTCTACTGAAAATATAAAGAAAACTAGCTGGACAACTAAAAAATATATAGAAAAAATTAGCTGGGCATGGTGGCACATGCCTGTAGTCCCAGCTACTCCGGAGGCTGAGGCAGGATTGCTTGAGCCCAGGAGTTTGCGGTTGCTATGAGCTAGGCTGACGCCACAGCACTCTAGTCTGGTCAACAGAGTGAGACTTTTATCTCAAAAAAAAAAGAATGAAGGGAACAGAGAAAAGTCTTCCAAAATTTATTGAAGACTTTCATTATCAACTTCCTGCAACATCTAGCAATCATAATCCTAAACCTTAAGCCAACAGCATGCTCTACAGTATAGAAAGTTAGGAATTATATAAAACTATACAAATCGTAAAATACATAGTTTGAGGACCAACACTGTGCTTCAAAAATGTACCCTTGAGAAACTTAGGGTTATAATTAATGTTCAAGTAATTGTAGATTAAGTAGAATAAAAATAATTTAAATACCAGAGTAGCACACCCAAAAAGAGGCTAAGTACTTCTATAGGCTGGGTAATTATGGTAACATTTCTCCTTCAAATAGGGAAGTCCAGTATTAATTCCATATAATTTTTTGGCATGTTAGTTTTATCTTTAAAGGAGCTCTTAAAGGTTATATTAAAGATTCCCTAAGAATTACATATTTGTTTGGGTCTCAAAATTGTTCTCCTTCCCTATGTCTTTTAGTATCTAACTTGCCATATATAATTAGAATAGGCATAAATATAGTCTAAAGGTTAACATAACACTTACCTGTCAAGACACCTTAGAATAATGGTAGTCTTTCCCTGGAAATTCAAAAAAGAATGAATATTGTGATAATGTCATCCATATGTATAATTTTATTATTGCTCATAATTGTGGTCCAAAATAGCTTTTTAATTACTTGAATGATAAATTACCTGGAAACTAAAACTATAAACTTTCAGAATTGTTCTTAACTTTGATAAGTGGAAAAAGTTAACTGTCAACTTTCCATCACAGTGTAACTACACTGCTATTACTATAATTATAAAGTACCACAGATGACAAATACTAACAAATCATACCTCACTTTAGTGGTCAACTTGGCAGCTGTCTTAAATTTTTTCTCTACTCATCAATGCTAATTACTGGTTAAGATGATGATTAGTGTCTTCTAAAATGCTTTAATTCCAATTGTTGAAGTGGAAATAAAGAAAAAAGATAACTCACAAATAAAGGACACATTGCAAATATATTCAAAGTAAGCAATCCAGATACTGGGTTAGAATATTTTGTTTTAATTCAAGAGGATGAACTTATTCCAAGTTTCTTCTTAGGAGTCAGGGAAAATAGGACCTGGCCCCATCTCTTCCATTACCCATGAAATTAATCTCATATCTTAGGCAGGGACTAGCTCAGTGGTTTAAATCATTGTTTTGTTTTGTTTTTAATGGTAAAACCTTTTTTTCCCCCCCAACAAATGACCCCTTACAAGAAAACAGATACAAGAGGAACAGCAGGGAAAGCTCCACTGGAGGAAATCTTTGGGCTCTAAGGAAAATAATATGGAAAATTCTGGATTGCAAAAAACACAGAACATTTTACCATCTAGGGTTGTTTAACTAAAAAACCTATAGTTTTTACCAAAAAAGATCATAACTCACTTGAGATTATATCTGAAATATGATCAAATTGAATGAATTTTTTTGTAATGAGATAAAGAAATAATCAGAATAGTATCAAAATGTATATTATATCAAATTGAAAAACCAGAAACAACCAAAACATCCCCAAATAGGAGGTTGTCTAAATTATTTATGGTAATCTGTACAATGGAATAATATGCTGCCGTTAGGAATGAAAATGTAGAATATACTTACTGACATGTTAAGACATTTATAATAGATTAGCATGACCCTGATTTCAATTAAGAAATATCTTTTCCTGCTTCCTTGAGATGTACACACACACACACATATACATATACACATACATACATAGAGAGGAACAAACACACAAACAAATAAGTCCAGAGGAATATCACTATGTTAAAAGTGATTGTTTCTAGCTGATGGATTTGCAGGTAATTTATTTTTTTTAAAGAAAATCAGGATTTTCTAATTTTCCCACAATGAATATGTATCATATACAGTATATTATAAAAATTTTAAATAAATGTGTACAATATTAACTTAAAAGTAATGTACTCTATGTACAAGAAAATACAGAATCAAAATTAGTGTAGTTTAGAATTGGAAGAAATTTTAGATACTATCTAGCCAATTTCCTCAAATTCTCATGATATACTAGTATTGATTTAAATGATTTTTATTATAATTTCATGTAAATGTATATTACTATATGGTAACAATTCCAAATAAACATAAACTCAAATCTGGGAGTCACTTTTTTTTATCTTTTATCACTAAAAGAACAACCAAAATTTTAAAAATTCACTAGTAAACTGTGGCCCTCTGAGAATGTAGCCACAGTCTCCTTGGTTTCCTAATTCAAGAAACACTGACCTAGTTAGTACAAGTTCATTTAGAGGCTATCAAAATGAATTCCATCTTCCCTCCCATTACCTCAATCACACCAGAAGTCCAGTCTTCTCCTCTGACCCCTTATCCCTGGGTCTCTTAATTCCATAATCCTCAATGCATCCCTTCATCTGGCCCAATAATCTCTTTCGGTTCTCCCTTCCTTTAAAAATCTTTCCACTCGGCTGGGCACGGTGGCTCACGCCTGTAATCCTAGCACTCTGGGAGGCCAAGGCGGGCGGATTGCTCAAGGTCAGGAGTTCGAAACCAGCCTGAGCAAGAGCGAGACCCCGTCTCTACTATAAATAGAAATAAATTAATTGGCCAACTAATATATATGTAGAAAAAATCAGCTGGGCATGGTGGTGCATGCCTATAGTCCCAGGTACTCGGGAGGCTGAGGCAGCAGGATTGCTTGAGCCTAGGAGTTTGAGGTTGCTGTGAGCTAGGCTGACGCCACGGCACTCACTCTAGCCTGGGCAACAAAACGAGACTCTGTCTCAAAAAAAAAAAAAAAAAATCTTTCCACTCTACAACTCCAGCTCCATGACTGGCAAAATTCCCAAAATCTCAGTCGTTTCAGAACATTCTCTCTACCTGTTGGCCTTAACTAAAATATGGCTGTCCCTGGACCACTTGTTAAACAAGGCTATTTATTCTCAACACCCTATGTACTTCAGGGTCCTCCTTGTTCCCCAATGCCACCTTCAAACTACTTTACCTCCCTCCTCTTACAAAAATCTCACAGGCTTATACCAATCTACTACCATGGTTGTTGTCATTCTTTTAGCTCACAATCTCCTTTTCCCTCTCAGCTACTGTCATTAGTCTTGTTAACTTCACACCCATGTGGGCGTATGGGTAACCCATCCAAGAACCTGACCTCTCAGTGTATTTTCCTCCTCGCAGAGGCCTTTCCCCTTTCTACTTGTCACCTGTCACTTCCAAGGGTTACATCTTGAATCATTTCACCACTGGAAACTACACCATCTCCAAAATCACACATGCAAAACATACATTCTCTAACAGCTTCTTCAGAAATTCCCACAGTAATAACTCTAGTTCATTGACCCCTTCCTCCACAATGGTTTCTCTTTCTCCATCAGCCTTCTCCTACCTTCACTTCTCTCCTTTTCCATCGTAGAGTCCATAGTTTATCATCATAATCATCTCTTGTAAATATCATCCATATCCCAGGCTTCCTCACTTTTCATTGTACCCGCCCAGCAAACACCAACCCCAGGTAAATCACCTTCCTCCCTCAGGCCTGCACCCATGCAAGTGAGTGATGGTGGAGAAAAAATTATACATACTGTGAATTATTAATATCACCTTTATCCCCATCATCAAAATATCTGTCAACATTGACTGGCAATCCTATTACATTTATCTAACACATTTTCTCTCCCATTTGTTGCAGAAGCTGTCTCATACATTTTTCTTGATCCTCTCCTTGGGATGGATATTCACTTGATCCTCTTCACTTCAATTAGTTCTCTTTCTAGAGCTGGAACCCATTCTACTAAGTGAAGTATCCCAAGAATGGAAAAATAAGCACCACATGTACTCACCAGCAAATTGGTTTCACTGATCAACATCCTAAGTGCACACACAAGAATAACATTTATCGAGTGTCAGGCAGATGGGATGGGGGAGGAGGGGATGGATACATACATACATAATGAGTGCAATGTGCACCGTCTGGGGGATAGACACGCTTGAAACTCTGATGGGGGGGGCAATATATGTAACCTAAACATTTGTACTCCCATAATATGTTGAAATTTAAAAAAAATTAGTTCTCTTTCCTTACTACTTGCCCTTCTAGCTTTAGTCATTATCCTCTTTTAAGGAGGCTTTCCTACTCTCCCAATCTCTTGGGCTCTGTTAAGTGCCCTGTTTTCCACCATAGCATTTGTCTCATGATATTGTCATTATTGGTGTACTAGTACCTAAGTTCCTTCACAGAAGAGACTGTGTCTTTCATTCTTGTTTTCACAGCGTCTGACAGGATGCCTGGCACATGAAAGATGTTCAATAAATGTCTACTGAATGGATGAATAGAAGGTTGGAAGAAGAGAGAGGAGGCAGCAAGGCAGTTGGTTTTTTGGTAAAGGGTGATTACTATTAGTTGAATAATAGAAGCATTAATTGCTTTTCTTTCTTTTACTTTTCTTTTCTTCTTCTTCTTTTTTTTTTTTTTTTTTTTTTGAGACAGAGTGTCACTCTGTGGCCCAGGCTAGAGTGCTATGGGCGTCAGCCTAGCTCACAGCAACCTCAAACTCCTGGGCTCAAGAGATCCTTCTGCCTCAGCCTCCCGAGTAGCTGGGAGTACAGACACGGGCCAATGTGCCTGGCTAATTTTTTCTATTTTGGGTAGAGACGGGTTCTTGCTCTTGCTCACGCTGGTCTCGAAATCCTGACCTTGAGTGATTCTCCCGCCTTACCTCCCAGAGTGATAGGATAATAGGCATGAGCTACTGTGCCCAGGTCTATTTTTCAAAATAAATTAATGTTCTGCATGAAGCAGAATCAGATGCTTTTTAAAGAACAATACCCTCAAAAGCTCTAGATATCTTAAGGGAGTTCCCAAATCCTCAAAAACAAAATTAGTTTTAATTTACATCAGTGAAAACAAACAAAAAGACTATGTGGCACATATTGCTATCCAGAAAAAGGGGTGGTTTCACAAACAAAACAAAACAAAACTAAACTAAAAGGCTGTCACAACTAAAAAGAAGTCAAGAACAACAGTTACAGAGAGTGACTAGTAAAGGATGTTGGCAGGGGCATTTTGTTTGTGAGAATTTGTATGCTGGAGTCAGTAATCAGTATCATTAGTATAAGCCACTCTGCATAATATTCTTTATAGAATATTTTTTGTAATAGAAATTTATTTGTACCATAACACTAGTTCTGGTTATTTATTCATTTATTTAAATCCATGTATGTATTTATATAACAGTAAGAGAAAAGGTAGGAAATTGTTAAAGTACTATATCCACTATGAAAACCACTCTCCTCATAGTAGTAAACTCATGAAATACTTACATAATTAAGTTTAAAAATATAAATGATCCCTATGATAATTTAATTTTAAAGAATTAAATTCAGATTTAAAAAGGTAAAGTGGTCCAATATGAAAACTTTGGAAAATACAGAAATTAAAAATGAAAACATACAGTAATTAATATTTTACTATTGGCCAGGCATGGTGGCTCAGGCCTGTAATCCTAGCACTCTGGGAGGCTGAGGCGAGAGGATTTCTTGAGCTCAGGAGTTTGAGACCAGCCTGTGCAAGAGCAAGATCCCGTCTCTACTATAAATAGAAAGAAAATTAGCCAAACAACTAAAACAGAAAAAATTAGCCAGGCACAATGGCTCATGCCTGTAGTCCCAGCTCCTCAAGAGTTTGAGGCAGAAGGATCGCTTGAGCCCAGGAGTTTGAGGTTGCTGTGAGCTAGGCTGATGCCACGGCACTCTAGCCTGGGCAACAGAGTGAGAATCTGTCTCAAAAACAAAAAAATAAATAAAATAAAATTTTACTATCCATATTTCTAATTTTCATCTTTATATATTTATATAATGGAGATATTGTATATAAAATTTGTGTCCTGCTTATTTAAATTCACATTATATTATTTCATTTCTAATAACTCTTTTATAGTTATATAGTTATTTCCCCCAATAAATATACTTCTAATGTTGTATATAATACCTCCCAATGCTGGATGTCATTTGTGCAGGTAGGGCCTTTTGAGACATAGCTAGAGACAAAAGGGGTGCTCAGGCTGCCTGGGCCCTGAGGTTGCTAAGGGAACGTGTAGCCTTGTTGATGCAGTTTAGTTTCTGAAAGCTTTATATATGTCAATACCCTTAAATGGAAGCATGAAGCACAGAAACTGAATAGTAATATGGATCTCAAATAGAAATGAGCTATGCTTCATAAATTTCAGCATCTTGCATCTGACAAACCTCAATCTTTGTTAAACAGGTCCGCCAGCAATTCTGCCTCCTGGGCAGGAAATTTTGTGGGCCAAGCAAAGCTGGATAAAGGTACAATGCATCTCCTCTTGCTCTGTGTGGCCACTTCAAAACCTTTCTGTATGCTTGGCTAAATACAATAGAAAATTACAGTAAGTGGGGGCGGGGTCTCTTCCTACTAATCAGTGGTCCAATGCAACTGCTGCTATATTTTCCTCACGTTTTCCAAAACAATTCATAACCCTATAACAAACATCACTGACATAATTTGATAATTCCTTTAATGAGATTCCTGAAAGTGAAGTAACTAAATCTAAAATATGAACTTGTTAAGATATTGACTTATTGAGAAGCTGAAATATTCAGCTTTTATATTAGATTGATATAGAAGATCTGAATATTTTCAAATTATGAAATAAAAAATAGCAGTTAAAATTTTTTTAAAACTCTTTACCATTATAATTTTTCATAGATCAACAAAAAGTACTTTCTAATTCATGCTAAACCAGATGGGTCATCTGGTTAAAGAGTTTAAGTATCTAAATTTTTATCAAAGTATTAAAATAAATTTTACCACTTGTTAAATCATCACAGTAATTGAAAGAGAAAAGTTAAAAAGAAAGCATTACCCCATTTTTACTGCCAATGAAGAAAACAGATTTTTCTCCAATTTCAACTCCATCACCTTCACTTCCATTCCTCCCTCTTTTTTCCACTTCAGCTTTTGCAATTTCCCAGAGAGTTTCACTATATGAGAGGCAGAAAAACAAAATTCAGAAATATAAAAAGAATCCTTTAAAATATTTATTTCAAGCTCAGAGAAATTTTATTTCAGTAAAATTTATAAAACAAATCAGTATTATTTTCTGGGGAACAATAACCTGGTAAAACATCTGCAGATTAGTCATTCTGTGATTTTTATTTTGTTTTGTTTTGAATTAGTTCTTTAAGGAACACTGAAATTGATAAGCAGAGCCTTTATCACAAGATATGAGGTTATGTGATATTGGGGCTTATAAGCAAGGTTCATACCTGTATGTGTGGGCTTCTCAGACACACAAGAAGGTACAATGACTTCTGGGCATGTATTAACACAACTTGAAAACTACCAACACTTAAAGAATGGGAAATGTGCAAAACCAGTGTATCAAATAATCTTTGCTCCCTGAAATATTTCCCTTTTTTTGTTTTTGTTTCTTAAATTGTTTTTGACTCAGAATGTCTTTTTTAAAATATAAAAAATATAAATCATATAAAATCACAAACATTTTGAAAACCATCCTTTCAATCTTTTTACACACATACATAATTTTATACAAATTAAGATTATATAATATATTTTTTAAAAAATTAAAACCTAAGTGAAAATGGAGTATTGAACTAAAAAATATATATAGGCAGTAGTGATGAATCCTTACCCTGAATCTGCTATTTTGTATGTATGGGAACTTGGGCAAATTACCTAACCTCTCTAGACCTTCATTCATTTATTAAACAAATACTTCTGAGCACGTAATATATGCAAACCTCTGTTCTAGTTCCCAGGCTCAACTCTGTTTCTTCATCTCTAAAATACCCCAGTAAAAAAGAAAATCAGCTTTACAGAGTTGTCACGATTATTAAAATACGTATTTAGTTTAGGGTCTCTCCTATAAAATTACAAAATTATTGAGACTTTATAATTATTACTATTCAAGAATAGTACCCGGAATAAAGAAAGAGTCAAAACAGGAGTCCTTAAATGCTTGCACTAAAATTCACGCGTTTATTTTACAGGTGAGCCTCCAGAACTCAGTCTGGGCTTGTCTGTTGTCCTTCATGTACACACCATTCTTTCAAAATGTGATTATCTGCTTTCCAAGTACCCAGCAGAGAGGCGAGCAGGAGGTGCTGTAATTAGGCATGCCACCTATAGAAACTTGTAACTATAATCATAGCTATATAACTGTAACCAATTACACTGTGATTGAAAGATGAGTTTTTCAGACTAAATTCATAAACTCAAAGGAGATAACACCAATGATCCCAAGGTGAGAAAAAGATTTATCCCGCTCTGTGCTGCATTCCCTGAACCCTCTTCCCGACATACTTATAAGTTGTTCAGAGGTGGTTTAGGACTATCTCGAGAACAGGTCATTAAAATGGACATCACGGAACTTAAGAGCTAAAATGTATTTTACAAGCCCTCCCCGCTCCCCCCGCCCCCTGCAAAGTGATGTTATACTTTCCACTGTGCCTTCCAAGTTTCCCTCATTTATTGCTGTCGAGAACCCCCGCCCCAAAAGGGGCGGCCCAGGGGCGGAGGCTTTGTGGTCTAGTTCACCGCCGAATCCCCTGCTCCTGGAACAGTCCCTGGCTCGCAAGAAACTTTTACTCAATCAGTGAATGGGTGGAGTCGATGATTTTTCAAAATCTCCTCCTTTTCTACCTAGGAAACTTTTCTACCTGTTTGCTGCAGAATCCTGTTGCTCAAGGATGGGTCCAACGAATCCCTAACCATCCAGACAAGGGTTGCAAGCAAGTCAGACCCACAATCTGCTTCCACCAGCAGGTCCCTGGGGGCTCCCTCTCCCCGAATATACCCTGAGCGGCCTCTCCCTCCTCTGCCCCTCACAGGCTGGGGGGGGAGGGGGAGAGAGGAGAGGTCTTGACGGCAGCGTGGGCCGGGCGCAGGCAAGGTTGAGGGAATACCTGGGCATCGTAGCTGCGCGGGCCCAAACGTCGTGGACGCCGCGTTAGAGCCCGGGCTAGAACCAGGCCCGAGACGAGTTCAGTGAGGAGCCGGAGTGCAGGCTCCTGGGTTGCCATGGAGCGACGTCGCGGCCGCGCTTGCGTGCCGAAGAGAGGTATCATGGGAAATATAGTTCTCAGCGTTCCTTTTCGACTCTCGCTCGCGGCTTCAAACCCTAGGATGCCAGGGACCGAGGTGACAAGGGTTACGAACTTGGGACCTACGAGCAATTGTTTTGGGGCTGGAGTGTTCTTTTATTTAAATAATGCTTTACTGAATGCCAAGTATGTGTCAGGGGTCTCTGCTGTCTCTCATTTTTTACTTTTCTCTCCTCAGAGGCCATGATTTGCAAATAGAGGGTGAAACAATCTCTTGAGCTGTTTTCTACTAATTTACTAATTTACCTTAAGCAAAGAATATTCAGACCTTAAAAGTAAGGCATGTGATTTTAATATTTTCCAATTTTCTGAATGTTTAGTGTTTTCAAGTTTTAGGCAATAGCATATTATGTATTTATTAATAAGTTAATGAAGCAAGTACATCTCCTACATACTTCATTTACTTTATGAATGTAGACTATTTTTGTTTGAACTTTGTGGTCTCTTTACATCAATAGCAAACCTTGAATTGTTACTATATGCATGGTTCTGTGCTACACAGAGTAATGAATAAAAAGATGAGTAAGACAACATCCCTACCCTCAAGAAAGACGTACACAGCTACTGATAATAACCCAGGAAAGCAGGTGATATAAGCTATTGTAGAGAGGCACAAAAAATTACATGAGAGCATGTGACTATGCCTGAAGGAGTTGGTGAAACAGTCATGGCACTGATAGTATTTGGTCTGTGTTGAATGCTGAGTAGACTCAGGCTCTCTAGCCCAAGATGCCCTGAATATTTGAAGCATACTCTCCCTCCAACCGTCTGCCATTTGGCTTGGCTTCTATAGTTTGATGTTCTAGAACATGGGCTTCGGAGTAAGTTAGAGCTAGATTCAAGTCCTGACTCACATTTGCTAAGTTGCCACATTGGGTAAATGGCTCAATTTCTCTGGTTTCAATCCTGTAAAAGCAAGGAAAGATTATGAGTTTTAAATGAGATAAATTTATGTAAAAAACATAACTTATTTGTGTGTCTAACACATTTTTTAAGTTCTTAATGCTTATTATTAGCAACTTTAAACAAAGAAACACGAGGAACATATTCCTGGAAATGAGGCAGATAAAGAAAAGGGCATTAGGCCGGTGCGGTGGCTCACGCCTCTGTAATCCTAGCTCTCTGGGAGGCCGAGGCGGGCGGATTGCTCAAGGTCAGGAGTTCAAAACCAGCCTGAGCAAGAGTGAGACCCCGTCTCTACTATAATAGAAGAAACTAATTGGCCAACTGATATATATATAAAAAATTAGCCGGGCATGGTGGCGCATGCCTGTAGTCCCAGCTACTCGGGAGGCTGAGACAGAAGGATTGCTCGAGCCCAGGAGTTTGAGGTTGCTGTGAGCTAGGCTGACGCCACAGCACTCACACTAGCCTGGGCAACAAAGCGAGACTCTGTCTTAAAAAAAAAAAAAAAGGGCATTGACTTCAGATAAAGTTTTGGGGAATAAAATCTTCCCAACATCTAGGTGTATTTTGGAGACACAGAGAAGACTACAGTTGCACATAGGAAGAGATGTAAGGGGAATGGAGTTCAACAGAGAAAGGATGATGTTAAGGGAGGTTGACACATCTATCATTCAATCAGCATCTATATAGCCTGGTGGTACTAGCCAGCCTGTAAGATCACAAACTGATATGGTACAGATTATAATGACTTGGGTTCTGGAACTTTGGAATGCCTTTGCATGCTAGTTAGGAATGCCTGTTGATATTGACAGCAATAATGATAGCTAATAGTTTTGCTATGTACTAGGCACAGTACTAGCACTTCAAGAGTTTATTTGTTTGGATAACTGGGATGGGTGATTGAAGGAAGTAGCCTGGTAACAGGAAAGGTTAAGGTTATGTGGGGTGGGCACTGATCAGCAGCATTGATTCCGTTCATTCAGTTGATCTGATTAATCAGATGAGTTCCCCTTTCTTCCTTTATTCCTTCTGAGGCTTCATACTTGGGCAAAGAAAGTTGACCTTGTTGGGTAGATGAAAATTGTTCTTAACCACTTCAGTACCAGTGCCTGCTATAGTCGATAGCCACAGATGAACGTGCACAGCAACGTTAGCTGACAGCCGTGATATGAAGGTGCACAGCCAAGCGTCGACTTTAACGGTAATAACAAAACTTGACTTTTCTAATTTTTCATTTATCAAAATAAAATTGTGAACATTTAAACATAACATAATGAAAACATATATGTTTATGTTACCTATTCTGATTTACATTACAAGTAAAGCTGCCTGTAAAGTAAAACAAGCTTTCAGTGCTTTAAAGCTTTCCTCATCACACAAGAGCAAAACACATTCATCGTCAATGCACAGCACAAACTATCGTGCAGACTATGAGTGACGCTAAGTTTCGCAGCCGGAGAGTGCGGTACCGAAGTGGTTAAGGTAAGAATATACAAAGATTTGAACTCCTCTACTGGATCACCCTAAGAATACCCAAGGATTTCAAAGCTTTTGATGGAGAAGAAGACAATTTTATGCTGCTTGTAAATGGAATGAGCAACAGTGCAGAAGGGTAAAGGTGTGTGCAGTATTTGGGGAAGTGAATAGTTTGGGGCAGAGCATTTAAAGTGCCTGGTGGAGATAAGGTGGGAGAGCAAACTGGTCAGGTAGAATGGGGTACTGTGAACGATCCTGCAGTCTGGATTTCACTGTGTTCATTATGAGAAACTAAATAAGATTTTAAAATAGGAGTATGTCATGACTGGACCTGATTTCAGTGAGATGATTTTTTGCAGCTGTGTGAATGATGCTTTGGCGTCTAGAAGACCATATGGAGGTCATTAACAATAGCTGGGAAAGTTACAGTCAGAGTTTTTACATTTTTTCCCTTGTTTTCAAAGTTATGTAAGCTTATTATAGAAAAAAATGGTCTGCAGAAAAAATAAAAAGGGTAAAATAAGCATACCCAGAACTAAAATCTATTAGCCATTTTGCTGTTTCATCCTAATCATTTTTCTCATAGAGCTGAGATTAATTGTAAAGTTAATATCCTGATTTTAACATTTAATTCTCTGTATCAATTTTTATTTTTATTTTTTGAATGAAACCCTAATCCATATCAATTTTTAAAAATTCATCATGGACATAACACTGATGACTGCAGAATATTCCATTATATAGATTTTTTCATAATTTACTTAAACATTCTCCTAATATTGAGTAAGTTTGATGTTATTCAGAGTAAACATCTAGTATGAATTGGGTTAATTACAGCCCTTTCCTGGGATTTTTCAAACTAGAATTGCGAAAAGCAACTCACTCTTCCTCTGGAGGAAATTAGCATATTTTCTACTAAATGAAGAATCTATTTTGTAGTTTGAGACCATGAAGCAGACCCACATTGATATGAATAGAATGCCCTGGCATATTTCTCATGGTTCCAGTTGTCCCTGAGGCTCAAGGCTCATCTGTGTCCTCACCTTTCTTATGGGTTGGTTGTTCAGCTTGTCCTTGGATTTTATGAGACATCCTGGTATCCTTGTAATAAATTTTCTCATTGTTGTCTAAGATAGTTCAAGTTGAATTTTGGAATTTACAACAAAAAGAGTTCTGTCTAATATAGTTACTAGACAGTAGTGAGTGAGGCCTTGGGGAAAAGGAGAAAAGCCATTGTTTCTCACTTGGTTGATTGATGAATTGGTGATCCTATTAACTAACATGGTGAGTTTGAGATATCATCCAGCAGACAGTTGGACCATTTGGGGTCCACTGGACTTGGAAGTTAGGAGGTTGATGGTAACTTCATGTAAAGACATTTCAGTAGAACAGTGAGAGCATGACATCAGTGTTGACAATGCCTCATCCCCACCGGGCGTGGTGGCTCATACCTGTAATCCTGGCACTCTGGGAGGCTGAGGTGGGCGGATAGTTTGAGCTCAGGAGTTGAGATGAGCCTGAGCAAGAGCAAGACCATGTCTCTACTAAAAATATAGAAATTAGCTGGACAACAACTATATATATATATATAATTAGCCAGGCATGGTGACACATGCCTGTAGTTCCAGCTACTTGGGAGGCTGAGGCAGAAGGATTGCTTGAGCACAGGAGTTTGAGGTTGCTGTGAGCTAGGCTGATGATGCCAGGGCACTCTAGCCTGGGCAAGAGTAAGACTCTGTCTCAAAAAAAAAAAAAAAAGAAAAAAAAAAAGATACCTGGGAGGAAAATCTTATATATAATCTATGAATAATCCAAAAGCTAATAAGAACTTTCCTCAAGCTTTTTTAAGGTTACACACTTTTTTTTTTTTGAGACAGTCTTACTCTGTCACCCCAGGTATAGTGCAGTGGCATCATCATAGCTCACTGCAACCTCAAACTCCTGAGCTCGAGCAATCCTCCTGCCTCAGCCTCCACAGTAGCTAGGACTATAGGCACACGCCACCATGCCCAGCTAATTTTTCTAATTTTAGTAGAATCAGGGTCTCACCCTTGCGCAGGCTTGTCTCAAACTCCTGACCTCAAGTGATCCTCCCGCTTTGGCCTCCCAGAGTGCTAGGATTACAGGTGTGAGCCACCACTTCCGGCCCTAAGGTTACACACTTTCTATAAGCGTTTCTCTCATAAAAGGCAACTCTTACCACAGTTTGATAGTATTTTCCAGATATTCAAGAAGTTAATATCTTCTAAGCCATCTCCTTAGTATTACCCAACATTTGGTTCTTAGGGATTCCTGGGAATTCATTAGAAACACATGGTGAGAGAGGGAATTAGCCTTCTTTTGCCACTGCCACTGCTAAAGAAGAGTAATCTGATTACAATAAAAGCACAATATAACCTACCAGCACCTTCAAAGAGAGATACCCTCCACCTACCAATACACACACGGTTTATTAGAAGATTATGTTAGCAAGTGCTGGAAGGAGGGGTACCCTGTATTTAAGTGCTGTGGTGAACAATTGTGTCTTATTTTGGAGTTATTTGCTAACACGTTTCCCTAGTCAGAAAGAGATGCACACCTCCTGCCCTCGCACTGTTTATTAGAAGATTATGTTGGCAAAGTGCTAGAATACAGCACTATATTCAAGTGCTGTGGTGAACATTTGTGTCTTATTTTGGAATTATTTGCTAGGAAGTTTTTATTCCTTGCCTATTACTTGATGGCAAAATAATTATAAAGCATACAATGAAGATTTTTGGATTGATGTTGATTATAAATGTGCCTCCAGAGTTTTCGTGACTATGTGCAATTAAGGTAAAATTAAATTCCATAACTAAAATCACCATATGGAGCAAGTGCTTATCTGATCTCCTTATCCCAGCCTTCTTTTTTTTTTTTTTTGAAGACAGAGTCTCACTTTGTTGACCGGTAGCGTGAGTGCCATGGCGTCAGCTAGCTCCAGCAACCTCAAAATCCTGGGCTCAAGCAATCCTCCTGCCTCAGCCTCCAAGCAGCTGGGACTACAGGCATGCGCCACCATGCCCGGCTAATTTTTTCTATATATATATATATATTAGTTGGCCAATTAATTCTTTCTATTTATAGTAGAGACGGGTCTCGCTCTTGCCTCAGGCTGGTTTCAAACTCCTGACTCGAGCAATCCGCCCGCCTTGGCCTCCCAGAGTGCTAGGATTACAGGCGTGAGCCACCTCACTCGGCTATCCCAGCCTTCTTTCTAGGCCTACCAACTCTTCAGTGTAGGACTAACCTTCCCACTTAAATGCTCAAGAAAAGCTGTGTATTGGTCCTGCTGAAATATGGACAAATCTTACTTAATCCTAAATACCTGTGTGAGGACTTACTTTAATTTGGAGTTTAAAGGAAAAAGGTTTCCTCTTGTTGCAGTAAAATCCCTTTCTTCTTTTAAGGAAAAGAGAATGGGGGAAAATGTGAGAAGGGATTGATTTCTGCACTAACCAGGTAGGTAGTGGAGAAGCTGCCCCATTCAATTCTTCTATTCCTCACTTCCCTTCCTCCATCCCCACATTATTAGAGCATTGCCTCCTCAGAAGTAAGCCCGTAGCCCCCAAGTGTCAAATCCAGCATCACCAACTTCCATGGCAGCCAGGGAGTGGGTGGATGTCGGAAATGCGTTCTTAGCATCTGGGACCACTTAAAGCCTTTTTCTAGAGAAATATAGTTATCTATAGTGGTAAGTTCTTCAGAATTATGCTTCAGTACAATTATGGGTTAAATTTATTGTTTAGGAATCTGACCACGATGTATTTTTTTCTATAGAAAAAATTTCCAAACAACAAACTATTAAATACATTTTGGAAACAAAGACTCTTTATAAGTTGTGACTAACCTCTCTTGTAAATTGAAAGTTAAATTCATTTCCAAGCTATGGCAGTATTTGGTATTAAGGGCACACACACAGACACACACACACACACACACACACACACACACACACACATATATATATACTCCAGAAAATTTAAAATACATTTTTGGAACACAGTCCATTCAACTCAGCTATATGAAATAAGCTCCCTTACAGAGCTTATAAAATCATGGGAGAATCAAAATTTTTATCTGTTTACATATTATGTGTCATTATGCATACATATGTATTAAAATTACAATTTTCCAAAACAGCTTCCTTTTATATGGATAAAACAAAGCAACACTGAAGACAAGGCATGAAAGCAAGAGAAGGAAGTAATAACTACCATTTTCACTGGTACTACACCTCAGCTTTGACAATGAAAACATTAGGTATTTCTTGAAGATTATTCAAAAGATAATGCTCAAAATGGGTTTTGTAAATCATTTATTATGATTGAAAGGAAAGAAAATGATAGGAGACAAATATTACAATTAAACATCCACCATTATTCTCTTGTAACCAATCATAATAACATACCTTGAATTTTTTAAATGGCTATATAATTTCCCAGAAAATAAAATTTTCACATCATCAGTTACAGAAAATTGATTTCTTTCCATCAAAATATTTTATCTCTGCTCTATCAAAAATAAATGCCACGTCTAAGGTACTACGGTTTAAGCTAAACTTTCACTACCTGTTTAAATTAGAAGATTCGGGGGAGGGGTTTACCAGATGGTGAATAAACTATTGCCTGAGAATAAAGCCTCACATATAAGTAACAGCTCTGCCAAGCCTCTGGCTCACCATCTAATTATGAAATTGCTTTCTGGGAACTTAGAAACTCTACTGTGTCACAGCCAAATGGCTCCTGAGAGGCATCCCAAACTAGTAAGCAGTTTATTTTCAAAAACTAATTTGCTTACTCAGTGAGTAGTTGTGGCTCAAAAGATGTAGAGGAAATAGTCAATGGAAATCTATTTCAATGTTTTTTTTTCGATCTTCTGTCATTACAAATAAAGCACAATATTACTTAAGCAATGCATTTCTTGGTTGTGCCCCTTCTAGGGATGCTAATATGGGATGGAACATTTTTACAAGGCTTAATGTAAGAACAGTACATTGCCATAAGGAGAAAGCAGCAAAGAAGAAAATAATGAAGGCTCTGCCAACAAATTAACTCAGCAGCTAACATTTTTTACAAATTGCTTAAAAAAATATGACAAAGTGATAAATACATGTCAAAAAATAAATACAAATATTCTATACATAAATAAAATTAAGTATACTTATGATTACTATTACAATTGAACATTTTTATAATATAATTTTCATGTCTTATCACAGTTTCATTTTTACCATGAGTACTAATTACACTGTTTTGACACATACTGGAATGCCCTGACCATATACGTACCCTAGTAAAGTAATACATTTCAAGACTCTATCAACTAAAATTTTACCTCCTTTGACAGAAGAATTACTTTCTCTTTTCTTTTAAAAAATGTTTTTGGAATTTATTTTCAAACTATAATTAGAAAGGACTGTATGAGGGGCAAAGCTTTAAAGATTGTCTTTGTTTTCAAAGATATTATTACTTAACAAAGCAAGGTCAAGATGACCAAATGCAGTGAAATGTGGGGAATATTCCAGTGAACCTGGGCTATGTTGACAGCCAAGGAATGTCTGGAATCACTGTCTCATTCTAAATTTTACACTCCAATGATCTGAAAAGGTGACAGGGTATACTTTTCTAATACCACATAGGAGGTTTAGGTTACCTAACTCCTGCTTTCTCATTTAATGATTCATAGACCCAGACGATTTATTGTACTTGCTCTAAAATTTACTCTTCACACCACAGCTGTTTCTTACACTGTGAACTCCTCTCCAAACACCATATCATTGATTAAAAACATTTAATTACAGTACTTACTTTTTTGGCAGTGAACATTTCCAAATAATCAACTGTTTTAGTAAATGAGAATTTGGAATCTCCCCTTCTAAAGATCGCCAGAATATTAAAAAGAAAGAAAAACACCATACTGAATGATGCGTCTAATAACAAGGGGGTAGGGAGATGGAAAAACTGATGAATTCTAACCCATTTATTCTAAGAGAAAATTAGCGTGTTGGCAAATTTGTGTTTATATTTCATTGTTAATATTCATTTAAATAATTAAGAATCAGATAAAAGAGAGTCACTCCCATTGCTGTTAAAGTTTGGAACACTGATGTGTGGATACCATGCTGCCAGGGGTAAACAAACTTGTTGGGAACGGATGCAGCCCTTGCATAGAGGACAAGAAATGAATGCTCAGGCTTTCAGAGTAAGGTGGGGCCTTTGGTTGGTCTGCTGCTTGACAGAAGGGGCTGGCTTCCCATTGCCCTGGTCTGGGTTCCCTGGGGCCGGGCTGAGAGCAGTGCTGGAGCAGAGAGGTGGTGAAATGCTGTTTTTTGCTGATGAAAGTTATTTATGTAACTGGCGATCAAAAGAGTGATCTCAAGAATCTAAAACAAGAAAAACAGAGTTGTTATACTCATCACTTCCACAAGAGAGCAGAGAGTATGGGCCATGGGTAATCTTCATTTGCAAGTGCCCAGGTTACCAGAATTATTTTCTTTCTAGATCAAACAATGAAGTACTTACATGTCTAGCACCATCAAGGCACTGACACTTTTCATTACTTTAGCAGAAAGAGTGAATCTCACAATCAAATTCGGTGGCAATATTAGGAAATGTGACAGTCAGTAGTACAACTCTATCAGTTATCTTAAAGCCACATTTGTGAATATATGCATTAAGCAAGTCAGTGTCATAACAACTATTTAAAGTACTGAGTGGGCCCCGATCTTCTGCACTTAATGGCTAGCTGCCTTCACTTAAGTATAAACTTAATTAAGAAAGATACCTTCTAATCTTCCATCTTTTAAAAAGCTTCATATTCTGAGGTAGTCTCTTTTTTTTTTTTTTTTGAGACAGAGTCTAGCTTTGCTGCCCAGGCTAGAGTGAGTGCTGTGGTGTCAGCCTAGCTCACAGCAACCTCAAACTCCTGGGCTCAAGCAATCCTGCTGCCTCAGCCTCCTGAGTAGCTGGGACTACTGGGCATGCTCTACCATGCCTGGCTAATTTTTTCTACATATATCAGTTGGCCAATTAATTTCTTTCTATTTATAGTAGAGACAGGGTCTCAATCTTGCTCAGGCTGGTTTTGAACTCCTGACCTGGAGCAATCCGCCCGCCTCGGCCTCCCAGAGTGCTAGGATTACAGGTGTGAGCCACCTCGCCCAGCCCTGAAGTAGTCTCTTTTAGTTGATAATTTTAAGACAGTTAAAGTTTTAGGAAAATCACTTTCTTGTACTTCTTGCTAAAATTAAGATTACATCTTAGAATGTAATCCTTGTATTTATTGCTTTTACTTCAAGATGTTAAACTACATAGTTTGTTAAACAAGTAAAACCCTGCCTGCCTCTTTCCTCAAATGAGTCCATAAAAGCTAATAACTGTAAGTGAATAAGATAATGTATATAAATTACCTGACAATAACAACTTATACACCATGACCATTTATTTTGAACCTTCCATATACCAGGCACTGGGATAAGTACTTTACAAACTACCTTCACTTAATTCTTAAGCCCAAAGAAGCAGGTAGTATCATACCATTTCTTTATATATATATATATTATATATATAACATAACATATATAATATATATATATAAACAAACATTACAGGGGTACAAATATTTAGGTTACATATATTGCCTTTGCCCCACCCGAGTCAGACTTCAAGTGTGTCTATCCCCCAGACGGTGCGCACCGCACCCATTAAGTGTGAACATACCCACTCTTTCCTCCCCCCTCCCTGACACCCGATGAATGTTACTACTGTATGCGCACTTAAGTATTGGTCAGTTAAGTCATTTCTTAGACAAAGAAACCAAGGCTTGGAAAGATAAGGTATGTCAGAATTTGGACCCATGGTTGTTTGATGTCTGTTTTCCCATATGGAATGTAGTCTTTGCTCAATAAATGTTTTAGTATGAAAAAAAAAATAGCATAAAACTGGCAGAAATGCTTCCACTTACCTTGGGTTTTGCCATGGCAAAAAGTAATTTTTCTGTTGGTTTGTCCTTTGAATGTGTATTGTTAATGACTACCATAAAATCATCTTGGTAACCTCCAAAGGTCATTAGACTCTTGTACACATAGCTGACTATTAACCTCTTCAAAGAGAAGAAAAAGTAAATATGTTATATGCTGTTTACTTTTAAAGAAAGATAAAAAATGAGAAATATCTCCATGAAAATGCTGATACTAATTATGGTACAGTAAAAATTATCTTTAAAAATTATTAAAGAAATTTTAATAAATTTTAATAAAAAAATTATTATTTATTATCTTTAAAAATCAAATCTATTATGATCCAAAATAGATAGTAGTGGTACCAATTTTATTTAGGCATCATCTACCTTTACAATTAAAATATATTTTGATTCTGAAAGAAATATCTCACTGTAGAAAAATTAGAAAATACCAGAAAACAATAAAAAGCACCTTTATTCCAGAATCTAGTGGAAAACCACTGTTAATATTTTTTATATGTCCTTTCAGATATCTCTTATGTATATTAGGGTAAGCCATATGAAACTGATACTTTTTGGTTAAAATGGTCAAATATTGGAAAATTCATATGGTTCACCCAGATAGATAGATTTTGAAATATATAAACAAATAATATCATGCATACTGTTTAGCATTCTGCTTTTTTTTAACTTAACAATGATTGTGAACATCTTTCCATAATAAGAAGTAATTATATAACATCATTTTACATAATTTTAGAGACAACCTTTTATTATAGGATATTTAAATCTTTTTTATTATTTCAAAATATTGATTAAGGGTGTACAAGTGTTTTTGGTTACATGGGTATCTTGTATAATGCTTAAGTCGTGGCTTTTGGCATGTCCATCACCAGTAAATCATTTTTTATTTGTTAACTATCTTAAGCAATATTCCAGTGAACATGTTTAGACATATTTCATAATGCACATACCTAATTTCTTTGATTATAAAATCAAACAACAGGAATTTCTAGCTCAGGAATTTTTCCAAACTCTCCTCCAGAAATATTACACTCACTTTCCCAGCACTGCTGTCTTGTTGACAGTAGATATTATCATTCTTTTAAATCTCTGCAACCTGACTGGTGAAAAGTAGAATCTCACTGTTTTAAATTGCATTAATTTGATCACTAGTGAGATTAACATTTTAATTTTTAGTTTTTTAAGCTATGTATTCAATCTCTGGAAAGAGATTAACATTTTAAACTACATTTGTTGAACATCTGTATTTCTTACTTTTGTGAATTGCCTTCACCCATCTGTCTATTGGTGTACTCAGAATTTTCTTACTGTTTCATAAGACATCTGTGTCTTATATTAAGGATTTCAACCCTTTGTCACATATGCAGCAAATAATTTTCCCCCCTCTATCTCTAAAACTATTTAAAATATGTAATTTAAAGATGTATAGCCTAAAAGTAAAGTAATCTGCATATCTAATGATTAGCTTGCAAGACTGAGAAGACCATTATAGCATCAAATGCCTCAGAACTGCAACCTACCTGTGTTTAACTTCCTGGCCTGTATGGCCACCTCCTGGGATCTAGGGAACTGGTTTACTTGACTAAGGTAACTCAAACTGGTGTACAGTTTTTTATTAACTTTAAGTCACTGATTTTATAATTTGTCTTCAAGTTATCCTTTTAAGAACTAAGAGGCATTCAGAAAACATAAATTCCTTCAAAAAAGTTTTTCAGCATTTATAAGGGGAAACAGTTAACTATAACACTACAGGACAGTTTGGTTTCCAGAAAATTTCCAGTGATCTCTGACTATAGGCATAGGTAAGAAGAGCCCACTACACTTGCCAGGTGAATTTAATAATTCCTGTCCACCAGATTAAAAAAAAAATAAAATTTTTAGTAAATAATTGGACATAAAACATATGACATAAAATAATATAAATTTCAGAAAGTAAATGAATACATATAGAAAGCATAGTTTGGCTATTTTTAATTATGTGAAAGTGCTAAGATACTGTATATGTACAAATGAACTAGCAAGTGACACTGCAGGAAATTATAGAAATTGTTATAAAAGCCTCAGTGAAACTGAACTTTAGCTTTGGTAATTAAAGTTTCTACTTTAATGAGATCTTATAGATTTTAATTTACACAGGAAACAACCTTCCTAACATTTTTTAAAAAGTCATTTCATCAATACAACCATTATTACAATTTAATAATGGTATCTTAATATTTTCCCATATACAATCGAAACCTGTCTTTTCTTGTTTTAAAATATTAAATCATAATCATAGTTGTACTTGTAAAATGACTATTCATTATATAGTATTAGGAAGAATATTTTCTGCATATGAGAAAAATCAGACTAAGATATCATTACCTTCTGTTTACAGTACATTGATCAATGAAAATAGTTGACTCAATGCAAAACTTTAGGGTTTAATCTTACCATGGAGTTGTACTCCAAGATGCTTAAACCATCCTCATGTATAGCCAGCCACATGAAAGTATTTCCAAGTGATGATGCAATTATGGGCTATGAAGAAGTGAAAATATACTATATTATAGATGCTAAGCAAAATTACAGAAATATTTTTCAGTCTAGATGGCCTATAACATTTGCAATTAAACAACAACAACAACAATAAATTTATTAAAAATCTCTCCTGGGGAAGAGGCAGTGTGGTATACTGGAAACAGCAGTGAATGTGTTATTAGAAGACCTGGCTTTGGGACCCAAATCTGCCATTTATTAACACATGCATTTGGCCAACCAACTTAATCTCTTTGAGGCTTGATTTCCTCATCTTTAACATGGGAATAATAATGTTTATATCTTATTTTTCTTCTGTTTGAAGAGGTTAATAGTCAACAGAGCTTTTAGGGTTTCTGTGATTTCCAAAATCCTAATGAAACAAAATATATTGATGTGCTTGATAAGGTATGTAGTACTATTACAAAGTAAAGGATTAGTAGTATAATTGTACACTTTTCCTGAAAGTTATTGAATCTGACATTCAATATCTAATAAAAATAGAATAAAGAGAAAGGAATGAGAAATGGAGTTAGTATTTAATGGGTACAGAGCTTCAGTTTAGGAAAACAAAAAAAGTTCTAGAGATGAATAGTGGTGATAGTAGCACAACAGTGTGAACATATTAATACTTAATGCCACAGAACTGTATATTTTAAAATGGTTAAAGGGTAAATTTCATTATGTGTATTTTATCACACATACACCAAAAAAGGACACCATTAAGCAATAAAAAGAGATGTTGCTCTGTTATAAAGAAAGAAAAATGTGGCTGGGTGCAGTGGCTCAGGCCTGTAATCCTAGCACTTTGGGAAGCCAAGGTGGGAGGATTGCTTGATTCCAGGAGTCCGAGACCAGCCTGAGCAAGAATGAGACCCCTGTCTGTACAAAAATAGAAAGAATAGCTGGGCATGGTGGCGCATGCCTGTAGTCACTGCTACTTGGGAGATTGAGGCAGGAGGATCGCTTTAGCCCAGGAGTCTGAAGTTGCAGTGAGCTATGATGATGCTATGGCATATTGATCAGGGTGACAGAGAAGGACTCTGTCTCAAAAAAAAAAAGAAAGAAAAGAAAAGAAAAGCAAAAAGAGACACCTGTCATGATGCAACCTGAAAAGCAGTATTATTAAATGTTTTGTGCCAGCAAGGACAGACCATATTATTAGAGCAGAGAAGGATATTTAATATTCCTTCCAATGCTAAAGTTAGAATTAAAATCCATGCTGATCTACAGTTCCTTATAGTTTTAAAAAACATGTTCAACTCCTCAAATACATTAATTTTATAGATGTTTAAGAATACTAACTTTATCATCTTTCTGTTAACTAATGTAGTATACAACTCCCAGCTCCAGTAGCAAAAATAATTTCTTACCTAACAATAATATAGCAGCCACTTATAGAATCAGAGTTAGAAAATACCTTAGATTTTACTTTTCTAGTCCAAGTTGTTCATTAATAGATGAGGAAACTGAGGTCCAGAGAGGTTAACCAACTTGCCCAAAGTTGCATAGTTATTCAGCAAATATTTAGTAAGTAGTAATTATATACAAAGCATTTTGGTAGGCACCAGAGGAAGATTTTAGGATCAGTGAGTCTATACCCTCAAAGAGAGTACAACTTAATAGTGAGGATAATGGATTATCAGAACTTATTAACATTAGTGTCACTAAAGTTGGTATTCAACCCCCCACTGCTAAATTTGACTGGCTTTAGAAAAAAAAGCATAAAACAGCCATACAGAAAAACAAAACACAAGACAGGATGTATCTCAAAAGCTTGAGAGAATACAGAGTGACACAGTTCAATAGAAAGAAGAGGAATCAAAAGGTACAATTTTTCCCTGAGAGTGAGGGCTGGCCATCCTACGGGTGGGGCTTGTCTCCTTTTGCAGTATTTCACCAACACTCTATTCATGTCACTCCTCACGATGTTTACCATACAGTGGTATGTTTACAGGCCTGTTGCAACCCTGGGCTACACTAAATGAACTAGCCCTGGAAGTTTGGGTACAACCCATCTGAAACCATGGGTTTATGTATTCCTAGAGCTAAGCTCAATGTCTGGCAAACAGAACTCAGTAAATACTTAATAAATGAGCAAATGAGTGAGAGAGCAAATGAGTGAATGAAGAGAAGAAAGCAGAGTTCAGCTGCTGTTTCCAACTGATTCACCTAATGAGTCTACGAAATGATTTGGGGTAGGGGAAAGTTAAGAAGGGAAAACATGGATAAGCTTTCCTGCATTTTCCCTAGTGTCCCTTCATTGTTTTCTTTACATTGTTGGATATTTCTTCATTTTTTAAAAAAGCCAAATATACTAAATCTGGGGTAAATCTGGTTGACCATGTACACAAAAGTCTTTATTATGCTTCTCTATCTCATTCTTTCTTACTTTTGCAAGAAACAACTTGGCACCAAAGAATGGCCACTTCCTGGCTACTGTCAAATAAATTCGTACACAATCAGCAGCACTGTGTCCTCGGAGGGCCATCCATCTGGTTGATAGTCGCTGGCAAAGCTGCCTAAAAAAAGAAAAGAACAACCACAACAAAAAAAACCCCACAAAAGCAAAAACATAAACAGTGTATCATCTTCCCAAGATAAAGCTCTCCTGAGCCAACTGTAGGCACGACTGTGATACCTAGGCATAAGCCAGGTAAATGTTTTGTGACTCTCATCTCACCTTTGTCCATCTCTTGTCCTTTTTGGAGCATTTCTTTCACCAAATTCTCATACTACTAGTGTCCTCAGCATCACCCAGGTACCCCTAGCAGGTAAATTTTAAAATTCTGAGTAGCTATCATCAAACCTTAGTGTAAATTAGTTTACAAGGTAATTCCTCATGGGAATATTTTCATTTTTAAAGAAAAGTACAAGTGGTAGAGCCCAAAGATGAATCCCTAATGGTAGAATTTTAGGTACTTCCACTCCTGGCTTGGAGAGATATTGGATGCAGGGACAAACTTCTCAAATTAAATTACAAAGGCAACCACTTAATCTACACAGACAAAAGACTGATCTTAAATGTTCCTATTTTGGAAAATTCATGGTTGGCTGGGCACAATGGCTTATGTCTGTAATCCCAGCACTTTGAGAGGCTGAGGTAGGAGGATTGCTTGAGGGCAGGAGTTCAAGACAAGCCTGGGCAACATAGTGAGACCCTGCCTCTACAAAAAAATAAGAAAAATTAGCTGGGCATGGTGGCACACTCCTGTAGTCCCAGCTACTTGGGAAGCTGAGGCAAGAGGATTGCTTGAGCCGGAGAGTTCAAGTTTACAGTCAGCTATGATCATGCCACCCCACTCCAGCCTGGGTAACAGAGTGAGGACCTTGTCTTAAAAGAAAAGAAAACTCATGGTAAATTGGATTTGCCTCTATTTTTAATCAAATCAACCTTTCTTTATATATTCTCTAAAATCAAAACTCCAAATTGTTTAATTAAAAACTTTATGTTAAAAATCTTGGGGTCAAGGGCCGGGGCGCGGGTGGCTACGCCTTTGTAATCCTAGCTCTCTGGGAGGCCAAGGCGGGCGGATTGCTCGAGGTCAGGAGTTCGAAACCAGCCTGAGCAAGAGCCAGACCCCGTCTCTACTATAAAATAGAAGGAAATTAATTGGCCAACTAATATATATACAAAAATAGCCGGGCATGGTGGCGAATGCCTGTAGTCCAGCTACTTGGGAGGCTGAGGCAGGAGGATTGCTTGAGCCAGGAGTTTGAGGTTGCTGTGAGCTAGGCTGACGCCACGGCACTCACTCTAGCCTGGGCAACAAAGCAAGACTCTGTCTCAAAAAAAAAAAAAAAAAGTCTTGTGTAAGAAGATAGTTTTTCTTTTTCTTTTTTTTTGAGACAGAGTCTTGCTTTGTTGCTGAGGCTAGATTGAGTGCCATGGCGTCAGCCTAGCTCACAGCAACCTCAAACTCCTGGGCTCAACCAATCCTGCTGCCTTAGCCTCCCGAGTACCTGGGACTACAGGCATGCGGCATTATGCCTGGCTGATTTTTTTCTCTCTCTATATATATATATTAGTTGGCCAATTAATTTCTTTCTATTTATAGTAGAGATGGAGTCTCACTCTTGCTCAGGCTGGTTTCGAACTCCTGACCTCGAGCAATCTGCCCACCTCGCCTCCCAGAGTGCTAGGATTACAGGTGTGAGCCACCGCACCTGGCGAAGATAGTTTTTCTTTTAATTTGTTTATAATGGAATAACCTATGAGATAAAAATTTTTTGATAAGCACCTCATAAAATTAGACATATTATTGGAAATTTTTTTCTCTTCTTTATTATCAGGATTAATTTGGACAAGAATGAATAAGATGCAATGAAAAGTAGATCTAAATTAAGGTAATTTTTTTGTTAAAAATTTTTTTAAATTTATTTTTTAATTCAGCATATTACGGGGGTACAAATGTTTAGGTTACTTATATTGCCTTTGCCCTACCTGAGCCAGAGCTTCAAGCATGTCCACCTCCCAGATGGTGTGCACTGCACTGATTAGGTGTGAATAAACTCATCCCCTACTCCCCCCTCCCACCTGCCCAATGCCCGATGAATGTTATTACTATATGTGCACTTAAGTGTTGGTCAGTTAATACCAATTTGACGGTGAGTACATGTGGTGCTTGTCTTTCCATTCTTGTGATACTTCACTTAGGAGAATGGGCTTCAGCTCTATCCAAGATAATACAAGAGGTGCTAGATCACCATTCTTTTTTGTGTTTGAGTAGAACTCCATGGTATACATATAGCACATTTTATTAATCCACTCATGTATTGATGGGCACTTGGTTTGTTTCCGCATCTTTGCAATTGTGAATTGTGATGCTATAAACATTCTAGTGCAGATGTCTTTTTTATAGAATGTCTTTTGTTCCTTTGGGTAGAAGCCCAGTAATGGATTGCTAGATCAAATGGTAGTTCTACTTATAGCTCTTTGAGGTATCTTCATATTACTTTTCACAGAGATTGTACTAGTTTGCAGTCCCACCAGCTGTGTATGAGTGACCCTATCTCTCCGCATCCACGCCAACATTTATTGTTTTGGAACTTTTTGATAAAGGCCATTCTCACTGGAGATAAGTGATATCTCATTGTGGTTTTGACATTAAAAAATTTTAAATATAGATTGTAAAATTTCTGGGCACATGTTAAATAAAAATATCTATAATCTCTTGGGGCTCAACAGTATTAAAAACTCTTGTGAAAACTGATATTATTTTTTTATACCTTTAAAATTTAACCAGAAAAATATTACTAAAAAACTAGTTTGTCTCTACCCTTTGAAGAGTTACAAATATTTTCTTACCTTAACTGTTCTTCAGAACAGCCATCTCTATACCTTTTGGGATAAAATTTCTCTATGACTTGTTTTAGAGTTTGATTTGCTTTGCACTGATTAGTAATATGTCCTGCTGGAGTTGAGAAAGGTCTTTCAAAATCTCCGATCTCCACCTAATTGGAAATCCAAAAAAGAGAAAATATAGGCTATTGAAGAGAGTTTCTAAAAAGAAAATCAGTTTTATTTTTACTAAGCATTCTTTTTTAACATGTAATACATAAATCTATTTGTCATGATTATATAATTATGGAATTTATAATCATATGTAAGAACTGTTATTAAACCTAAATTTCATTTGAATTCTAATTTTGGAAAAATTTACAATTTAGACATTTCCATTCCATTTTTACCTTAATCTCCCTAGGTTACTATCACCATTGAGTAGTATTTGCTAAAGGCCACTACTCTTGTTATTGCCTATAACCAGGATAATTTTGCATTTTTAAAATACCATATTAATTGCTAATAATGAGGGGAAATGGAAGTTAAAAATAAAAGGCAAAAAAAGTTATAAAGCTAAGAAATGTCAAAAAAAGTATTAGTTGAACTTTTTAAGGGTCTTCACTGAATGCAATGGGAGCAAGAACCACATTCTCATTACTTTCTTCTTAGATTTTCTCTATAAATATTACTATATTCACCCCTCATTCTACCAGTCTATTATTCCTGGGATTGGACCCCTTCATTCCCTTTCTCCCTTCATGAAAGAATGTTCAGCCCTTATCTCTATTAATAGGCTACTACATAGTTGCCATCCTCTATCTACCTAGTCAACTACCCACCCATCCATCTCTCCATCAACTCACATACCCATCATTCAACAAACATATACTGAGTCCCCACCATACGTTAGGCATTGTGCTAAGTGATGTAAGGAAGGAAAAAGTTGAGCATAGTCCCTGCTATTTGGGAGGAAAGAATGAAGCATAAACAAATACTTGTGATAAAATGTGTTAAGTGGTTTGTATAGCGTACCATAGAGGGTTCAAAGAGGAAGATGGAATGAGGGGACATTCCAGTGAATGTCCTACTGAATATTCACACCATTCCCTATAGCGCTCCCCAACAATCAGATGGAGGGTTCCATCAAGATTGGAATGGTCTTATAGAAAGCCCCAGGTTCCTCTTAAAAAGGCCCTCTGGAGACCCACAACCCAGAGCAACTCAGAGGCGGTGAATAATAGCTCTTCAAGTCTGCAATAAAAAATGGCCTCCAATAAGACTACATTGCAAAAAATGGGAAAGAAACAGAATGGGAAGAATAAAAAGGTTGAAGAGGCAGAGCCTGAAAAATTTGTGGGGGAAGAAGTACTGGATCAACGTGTAGTAAATGGGAAAGTGGAGTATTTCCTGAAGTGGAAGGGATTTACAGATGCTGACAATACTTGAGAACCTGAAGAAAATTTGGATTGTCCAGAGTTAATTAATTGAAGCATTTCTTAATTCTCAAAAAGCTGGTAAAAAAAAAAAAAAGATGGTACAAAAAGAAAATCTTTATCTGACAGTGAATCTGATGATAGCAATTCAAAGAAGAAAAGAGATGCTGCTGACAAACCAAGAGGCTTTGCCAGAGGTCTTGATCTTGAAAGAATAATTGGTGCCACAGATAGCAGTAGAGAATAATGTTTCTTACGAAATGGAAAGATTCAGATGAGGCAAGATTTGGTGCTGGCAAAAGAGGCAAATATGAAGTGTCCTCAAATTGTAATTTCTTTTTATGAAGAGAGAATAACTTGGCATTCTTGTCCAGAAGATAAAGCTCAATAATTGTTTGCAATGCTATATATATATAAATAAAATCTGGGTCTTGGTTTTTGATTTACTAGTGTGAAGAAATAACTACATCTAATAAATCAAGTTTGATACATTTGTTTTGGGAGAAAAAAAAAGGCCCTCTGCCTCCAGGCAAGTTTAGTACAACCAGCCTCTAAGATTCTGACCTCTCTTCTAGTTTCTTAACCAGTCAGTTACTGTCTAAATTCCTCAGCTGACCTGTGCTCTTACAGCCTATTCTTATAATTTTCTAGGTTCTTTGATCCAGTTTCCTGCATGGTGGTTACTTGGATTAACTTTGCCATTCAGCTCCCATTCCTCATTTTTTCTTGTTTCTATAAATCTTTTACCTAGTCAAATATTCTTCTTGATTTCTTCACACCAAATAAAAGCTGTCCATTAGCTCTTGAAACATACTGAAATCCTTCCCCCAAAGCAAGATAGCATTCACCAAAACTACCTGTGAAGCCTGAGGCCAGGATCTGACCCACAAGGATATGGTAGTCATAGAAACAACAGTTAAAAAAAAATAGTAGACCATTTAAGGTAATCTTGTCTCTTAGGGAAGCTTTTAGTGATAGGTCCAAGCTCAATGTCTCCCCTCCCTAGAACCTAAGGTACTGTGTGGCATAGAATAAACACAATAAATGTGTGGAGAATAATGGAAAATCAACTCAGATAATTCCCAACATACCCCACATGAACATGATGCCTTACCAGACCCTACATACAATAATTAAGGATTAACTCCAAGAATTTTCTAATTAAGACAGAGAATATCAACAGGGACCTATAGATATTCAAATCTACAGTAGAAATAACTCTTTTTCTACAGAGCTCAGATGTTTTTAGTATATTTCATTTATCTTCATAAAACTACTCTAAGGAAAAGAGATCATAGGCATTTTTCCTTTTATAGGTAGAGAAATTATACATTTTAAGTTAGCTACATGCTCAGAATTTTCTTGGTATGCAGTCTTACCTTTCTTCCCCTTCCTCAAATTTATCAAAAAAATGTTAGAAGTACCTATCTCCAAAGTATGTTATAATTTTTCTTGAAGAAGTTTTCTTGACAAAATTGAAAGTTAAAGCAAGAAGATTATTTGTAAAAATGCGAGTGATTTTGACAGCAAATCCATGCCTTCAGAAGGCTAAATCTAGAATGGCAAGTCACAGGAGGTCATTCCTAATCTTATCACCAAGAAAATATATGCCCTATTCTCTTTTCCTCAGGTTTATCATCACTTGTAGAAAAAGAACACTTAGTGTACCATTAATACTTTAAAGCTTAGATGATCATTAAATTATTTTAAAAGTAAACTAAATTACCAACTATTCATCCCTCCAAGGACTCTTATGGAAAATGGACTGTGTGTAAGGCTGTGCTAGATGCGAAGATGAACAGGAACAGCTCTGGCCCTCAGGAAGGCTACAGTCAGTGGTACAAAACAGAAGCATAAATAAACAATTATTCATATAAACTATTGTGGTCAGGACAGCAACAGAACATTACAGACACCCCAAGAGGGACATTTAACTCAACCAGGCAAGATTCAGGAAGGTTTTCTGGAATGAGTGACACCTATGATGAAAACTAAAAGATAAGATGAAGTTAACCATGAAGAGATGACAGTAGAGATGTTTCAGGCAAAGGAGAGAAAGAGGTAAGAAAAAGTGAATCATATGCAAGCTCGGGAATTATGGGTGGAGCCATAGTTTATATTTTATTAGAGTGTAAAGTTCAAGGGAATGTTGAGGCTGGAGAGGAAGGCAGAGTACAGATTGTGAAAGTCCTTGTATGTAAATAAGAGAATGACATTTTTGCTCTATCTCCATTACAGTTACCAGTGCTGTCTAACAAATCTCCATGCACAGATGACCCTATGCCTGTTTCTAAGCCCAGGCCTTAAAAAATGGCAGCTTCTACTTCTTGTTTCTCTTTTGGGATGTTATGACATTGTTCTTGCCACCTAACCACCATTCTGGAAGAAAGTATAAGCAGTGACATGAAGAGACCGTGTATAGGTGTTCCAGCTGACAGTCCTAGCAGCAGCCCTGACTAACAGCCAGCATCAGCCACCAGACATGTGTGTGAATGACCCAGTCCTCAGCCATGGAGTCACAACCTGCCCTCAAGCTGTGCCAACTGATGCCATGTGAAGCAGAGACAAGCTATCCTTTCACTTTCTTGCCCAAATTACTGTCTTAACTGACTGAGTTTTGGAGTAATTTGTTATGCAGCAATAGATAAGTGGAAAAATCCCTCTAGCATCTGTGTGAAGGATAAATTTGTGGGGAACAGACCAGAGAAAGGCACATTGCTTAGAAGTCTGTTGTAGGCAGGGTGTGATGATGGTCTGAACAGCAGTGGCAGTCAGCAAAGAGAGGATTAAACAATATCTAAGAGTGAAAAATATCTAAGAGTTAAAAGTGGCAGGATGTATTGACTGGCGGGAAAGATGAAAGGGTGGGAATTGTCAGTGATGATTCCTGGATTTGAAGCTTGCTTGGGAAACTGAGTGGAGGCAATATCACAATGAAGATACAGAGGAGGGAAGAAAGAAAAGGGAAGATTAGCTCCATTTTCAATATGTTGAATTTAAGGCAAAGATGTATGAACCGGAGAGAAAAGATTTGGGAATTACTGGCATAGGTGGTGGATAAAATAAAAAGAATGAATGAAATGAATGAAATGTCCTGGGATGGAGTGTAGAACAAGAAGCCTTAGACTGAAGACCTTGATCTGGATGAAATATCATAGGGTTGCTTTAACATTTACCTTTAATTAACCTGTGCAAAGACTCAGATGTGGTAGAGATTGTGTGTTGCCTCTTATGACCATCCTTTCTTCTTCAGTAATAAAAACCTTGAATTTATCTGGGCACACTGCCACCCAGCTAAGACCACATTCCTCAGATTCTCTCATAGGTAGGAAAGGCCACAGGACTAGATTCTGACCAGAGAGACATAAATGGAAGTGTTCTACGTGACTGCTGGGACATTTTTGCATAGGTGGCAGGGCATGCCCTTTTTAGCCCTCTCCCTATCCTGATGCTGGAACACTGACATCATAGCTGTAGTCCTGGCAGAACTCCAGGAAGGACCATGAAGATGACACCCTAGGGACAGCACAATGGAGAGCAGAATACAGCTCATGCCCCTATCAGCTTTGCCGAGGTGGCAAGATGCCTGTCTTTGTGAGAGACAAATATACTTCTATTCTGATTAAGTGACTATTAATTTGCGCACGTGTGTGTGTGTGTGTGTGTGTGTGTGTGTGTGTGTGTGTGTTTATAGAGGGTGAACTTAATCCTAATTGATATAATAGGTAAATAAAAGAAAGTACTCTGGCCTTTTGAAAAACTAATTCCTATGAGAATTAGAAAAAAACTAATTCCTATGAGATTACTGAACAATTTTAGCATGGCACCCTGAGCCCCACAACTCCGCACTCAAATTCCTTTATTAAATGCAAAGCCTAGTGGTATACTTTTAAGATAATTAAGAGACTGATTCTCTTTATGGAGTACTGTCTCATTCTACTTCATTGCAACTGTTAGAAATTCAGAGTCAAACTGTAATTATAATGCCTGTAATTTTTAAGGTATTAATCATAGCAAAATGAATTTAAAGAACTACTGAAGGCATACTGCTTTACTACACTTAATTCACATAGAAATTAATACCTTATCATTTCAATATATTACTCTGCATAACATGGAAGTTACCTGAGCTAAAAGAGCTGCCATTTCTAATGCCAGATCCTTGTTCAGAGGAAAAAGTCCATTTATTATTTGATCATTTGTCTGATACATTAACAGCAACTTTTCTCTATCAGTCTCTCCACGAACTTGCATTGAGAAATATAGTCTGTAAAAAAAAGAGAAAATTTCTCATCAATGATATTCTTGCCAAGGAAGAAAGTAAACATAAATCCAGAAGACCAACATGGGGTTGTTTTAATATAGTTTTCCAGTGATACCAACTTAGACCATTACTGTCAATGACCTCTGTTTCTGTTATATACAACATTTTCAGCAAAATAAGGAAAAACTGCTTTAAGGTTGATGTTAAGGCTAAGAAACCCTTCTATGCTATTTTTTTATGCCCTGAAAAACCAAATCCTTAAGTGTTACTGAGGAAGGACCTAAGACACCAAGTGAAATTAAATATGTCCTCTCTTGTAAGGAATGTATGATGTAACCCATTTCAATGGGCTGAATAAACCCAATTTTCAAAATACTTATGATCTTTCCTGAATACCTTGGACATACCAAGGAATAGGAATGAAGGTTTCAACTAAAAAGCAACACAAAATTAACATCAAATAAGAGGGGGAGGGTGCCGTTTTTTCTGAGGATCTAAAAGATAGTATTTGTACATTTAAATGTGTTTTGACTTTTTGGGCATGTTCTGGTAAGCAGCTTTAGGAGCTCAAAAATAGTTTACATGTTATCATTATTACTTGTTGAAACATGACACGGCTTTTGTTTGTCCAGGAGGTCTTCATCAAATTGGTGACTCTCTTTAGTTATTCACTATGTTGTTTATATGTGAGACATGGGGCTCTGACTTCAGGCTGCAAATCAGGCACCAGTGCTGTAAATGTTATACATGCTGTGACAGTGGCATGGGTAAGCAACACCTTGACACACTTGAATACTGTCATGATAACACAGTGGCTGCAAAAGAGAGGTTTAGATCTGGGAGTTGTTAGATGTGTGCCCAATTAGGTATAACTGGATGTTCAGTCCATTTCTTCCTACATACTTATGGGGAAGGACATATCCCTGTCAGTAAGAGTATCCCTCCCAGTAATCACCTCAAATAGCAGGGAAGGAGAGGGCAGCAGGTCCAAATCTCTGGGGAAGCATGGTGGGTATACTTTGCAAAGCTCCTTCTAAGCCATGACTCTAATCATCTGCTTGCCCAGCCCAGCTAATGAATCAGAGTAGCTTCTTGAAAAAAATAGATCCTAAGCTCTGTTTTTATTCATGTCTACATGATGGCAAATAATGCAGGATTCTTAAACTGATAGAAGAATATGGCTGGGCAATAGAAACAGATTCTAAATTTAAAATGATACCAGCAAAGCAATATAAAATAAAGAGAATAAAGTTTATGATGAAAGCCCTCCCAGGGAGAATTCCAGACTCCTGGTTCCAAAATGGTGGCATAGAAACAAGCTGGCTTCACTCCCCCACCTCTCCGCCCGCAACAGAAAACCAAAAACTGATATACTACACCAAGATTGTCACCAGCAATAACCCACAACTCAAATATGAGGATGAACGGTTCCTGGGACCACAGAGAAATGAAAAAAAAAAACCTCTGAGCTGATGGTAAGAGAATAGGACTTCCATATCTGTGATGCCCCTCTCCCCAATCTGCCCTGCACCAAGAGTGAGAAAAATTGACCCATGACTCAAGGTTTCTGCACTGGAAAAAAATGAGATCAAGGTAAACAATCAGTCTCTCTGCCTTCTTGGGATCCCTGGTGCGAGACCTGTCCCTGCCTCAATCCACTGGAAGCATCAGGAGTGCCTGAAGGGAGGACTATTCCTGAGGACAGGTAGAGAGAAAGGGGAGATGTAGGACCACCATTCCCAGCCCTGGAAACTCTGCTATGTAACTTGGCCAAAGGAGACACCAAATCAGAGTGGCTGTTCAGCAGCACCACACTGCAGGAGGTTCATTGGACAGGTCCCCTGGGAACAAAATCCTACCCAGCCTTCCCACACTACTGGGACATCTTTTTTGGAGCTCCTCCCATCTGGACAAGTGGCACTTTGATTGTTTACTAGAACCAAGGCAAACTTGAGCTTAAGGTGCCATCTAGTGCTATAAAGGAGGCAGTGACCTAGCAGAAGTGGGGTGGGAGAATGAAAGATAATCAACAGGTAAATTACAAAGAATCTCCAAGCAAACTTATCCAATAAAAACCAAAACAAGTCAGACAGAGAAGACTGGAATAAGTAAACTAATACTTTAATACAAAGACATAGATGTACATACATAAGAAACAACAGCAAACAGGGAACCATGACCTCCTGAAATGGACAAATCAAGGAACCAGTGACTGATCCTATCAAGAAGACAATATGTGAACTCACAAAGAATTCAAAATAGCAGTTTAAAGGAAACTCAGTGATCTCCAAGATAACACAGAAAAGCAATTCAAAGAAATTTATCAGAGAAATGTAATAAAGATATTAAAATAAGTTTCAGAGATCAAACAGAAATCTTGGAAATGAGAAATACATTCTCTGAACTAAAAAATTCCTTAGAAGCTCTCCATAGCAGAATGGATCAAGCAGAGAAAAGAATCACTGATACTGAATACAGGGTATTTAAAAATACACAGTCAGATGAGAAAAAAGAAAAAAGAATGAAAAGAAACAAATATTTGACTATAAGATCCAAAAAATTACCTCAAAAGACAAAACCTAAGAATTATTGGTATTCAAGAGGGAGCTGAGCAAAGCAAGGGGTAGAAAGCTTATCCAAATAAATAAAAACAGAAAACTTTCGAAAACTTGAGAAAGAGATAAATATCCAGGTACAGTAATGTCAGAAAACACCAAAGAGATTCAACCCAAATAATTATTTCCTGAAGGCATATAATAATCAAATTTTCAAAGGTCAAAGACAAAGGGAGGATTATAAAGGCAACACGAGAAAAGAAGCAAATAACATATAAAGGAGCTCCAATTTCCCTGGCAACAGACTTCTCAAAAGAAACCATATAGTCCAGGAGGGAGTGAGGTGACATTTTCAAAGTGCTGAAAGAATATAAGCTGCCAACAAAGAATACCGTATCCAGCAAAGCTATCCTTCAAATATGAAGGAGAGATAAAGTCTTTCCCAGACAAACAAAATCTGAGAGAATTCATTACCACCAGACCTGTCTTACAAGAAATGCTAAAGGGTGTGCTACAATCTGAAAGAAAAAAACACTAACATGTAAAAAAAAAAAAAAAATGAAGATATATGACTCACTGATAAAATTAAGTACACAGGTGAACCTAGAATACTCTAATACTGTGATTATGATATTACAGTAATCCACTTATAATTCTAGTATGATGCCCAAAAGACAAATCTATAATAACAAAAACAATAATACCTGAAATAAACTGTTAAGAGATAGGCAATATAAAAATATGAAATTGAGACAACATAAAGTCAAAATGTGAAGGGGGGATGATGTACAGGTTTTTTTTTTCTTTCATTTTTTTCTTTGTTTCTAATCTTCTTATGATCTAAAATGAGTTGTAATCTCTTTAAAATAACTTGTTATAAGGTTTTTTTTATAAACCTCATGGAAACTACAATGCAAAAACGTACAATAGAGTCACTAAAAAGGAAAAGCAGCAGATTAAAACATACTTCCAGAGGAAATCACTCAACTACAAAGGAAGAGAGTATGAAAGGAAGAAAGGAAAAGAGGAATTACAAAACAACCAGAAAATAAGTAACAAAATGGCAGTGGTAAGTTCTTATCAGTAAGAACACCGAATGTTAATTGGCTCACTTCTCCAATTAAAAGGCAGAGAGTGGCTGAATGGATAAAGAAATAAGACCTAACCATATGCCGTCTAAAACAAACCCATGTCGCCTATAAAGATACACAGACTGAAAGTGAAGAGGTGGAAAAGATATCCCATGCAACTGGAAACCAAAAAAGAACAGGAATATCTGTACTTACTTCAGATAAAATAGATTACAAAGACTGTAAAAAGAAACAAGGTCACTATATAATTATAAACAGGTAAATTCAGCAAGAGGATACAACAGTTATAAATATATATGCACCGAACACCCGAGCTCCCAAATATATAAAGCAAACATTAGTATTCTGAAAGGAGAGAGAGACTGCAATACAATAATAATAGGGGACTTCAACACCCCACTCTCAGTAACAGATCATTCAGACAGAAAATTAACAAAGAAACATTAGAGGTGGCTGTTCCACCTTTAGCAGTTTTTTTGTTTTGTTTTGTTTTGAGACAGAGTCTCACTATGTTGCCCGGGCTAGAGTGCCTTGATGTCATCTAGCTCACAGCAACCTCAAACTCCTGGGCTCAAATGATCCTCCTGCCTCAGCCTCCTGAGTAGCTGGGACTACAGGAGTAAGCCACCAAGCCTGGCTAATTTTATCTATTTTTAGTTGTCTGGCTAATTTCTTTCTACTTTTTAGTAGATGGAGTCTTGCTCTTGCTCAGGCTGGTCTTGAACTCCTGACTTCAAGCAATCTTCCTGCCTCAGTCTCCTGAGAAGCTGAGACTATAGGCATGTTCAACCACACTGGGCTAATTTTTCTCTTTTTTTGTAGAGAGGAGGTCTCGTTGGTCAGGTTGGTCTCGAACCCCTGGCCTCAAACAATCCTCCCAACTCAGCCTTCTGAAATGCTAGGGATTAAGGGCATGAGCCACCACACCCCACCCAAATTTCATTTCAATTCCAATCACAGCCATCATAATCAGACTTAGCATATATTAAGCATTGATAAGGTATGGATTATTAGGAATAGTCTTAGACACAGAAGTCATTTCATTTGGTTCCAACAAAACCAAGAGAGAATGCCTGAACCTGTTCTATATAAATATCTACAGCAGGCTAGGTGTAAGAGCTAGCTACTTCCACAAAGAGTGAGGCCAAAAGGCAGAGGCAGAGATGAGGACCTTTAGGTCAGTGCTTCTCAAAACTTAGCATGTGTAAGAATTATGTGGAGACTTGTCCAAATCCATACTCCTGGTATTCACCCCTACAAATTCTGACTCAGTGGGCCTAAAGTGGCGCCTCATGATTTGCATTTCTAACATGTTTCCATGTGGTCCTGAGGCTGCTGGTACAGGGCCCACACTTTGAGAACTACTGCTCCAGCACTGAACAGAACTAAAATAATCATCTGGAAAATCCAACTCTTCCAGCCTGCTGCTCTTGCCAGTCACCAAAGGGCCATAGATGGAGGCTGCCATCAACGGAAACAGGTTCCTCCAGGAGTAGAACCTATTGGATTTCCATTATTTAAGCAATTTTGTGTATCTCTAGGAATGTGTAATTTTAACACCTTAGACACCAAAGCTGAATAGTCCCTTTTTTGTTACTTGGAACTCTGGCAAATCATCACAGCTCATGAGCACCTGAATAAAGAAGCTCTAAAGATTCACAACCACCATTTATTGAAATCAATGGAGTCTGTTCAAATAGTGAGTGGCCTTTAGTGGCTAACTATATGAGGGAAGAGTCCAAAATATGAATGCATCCTATTTATCTAACTGTTCCCTATTAATAAACATGTAATTCCCCCCCCCCTAAGTTTTCACTGTTGTAAAAAATATGGCAAAGAAGATACTGGAAGATACTGGAATACTCTGCCCACTTACATGGGTATTTCTGTGGGATGGATTATTAGAAAAAGAAATACTGAACTGGATCCAAGGTTATTACTTTCTGTATGTTATATAGTGCCTTCACTTCTCAAATTCCAATTTTAAGTCTATGAACATCTTCCCAAATGAGGCCTGTGAAAGAATTCAATACTACTCCAATAATTCCACCAGGCTCTTGGTCTGACATTTTATAGATTTTTTAATTTATGGGGTATAAGATTCAAATAAAATTATCAAAATCCCTTGATTTTGGTGTAGTTAACCACTTTGGTACCAGCGTCGACTATAGTTGATAGCCACAGAACACGCACAGCCCAGTGTAGACTTTAGCCGACAGCTTTGACAGCCGTGATATGAAGGCGCACAGCCGAGTGACAACTTTAGCCAGCAGCCGTGATATGACTTTTCTAATTTTTCATTTATCAAAATAAAATTGTGAACATTTAAAAATAATATAATGAAAATATATATGTATGTTACCTATTCTGATTTACATTACAAGAGCAAAATGGATTCATCGTCAATGCACAGCACAAACTACTGTGTGGACCATGAGTGCCGGCTGTGGGCAAAGTTTCGCGGCCGGTGAGCGTCATACTCAAGTGGTTAATGTGAACTGGTCAGTTAACACTGTTTATTAAGTATTATCTTCTGCTAATACATGAAAGAAAATACTTTTTTAAAAAAGAAAGAAAGAAAGAAAATCTGGTTTCTGACTAAATCCGTAAGTGCATTAAAATTTATCTGTTTGAGAAGGTATATGCTCCAGCTCCACTGGCGTTGCCTCAGTTCCCGAAACAAGCAGAGCAGCCTCCTTCTGTAGGCCTTTAACCACTTTGGTGCTCACCGGCCCGGAAACCTTGCCCACAGCCGGCACTCATAGTCTGCACGATAGTTTGTGCTGTGCATTGACGACGAATCCGTTTTGCCCTTGTGTGATGAGGAAAGCTTTAAAGCACTGAAAACTTGTTTTACTTTACAGGCAGCTTTACTTGTAATGTAAATCAGAATAGGTAACATATGTTTATGTTATTTTTAAATGTTCACAATTTTATTTTGATAAATGAAAAATTAGAAAAGTCAAGTTTTGTTATTACCGCTAAAGTCGACGCCTGGCTGTGCACCTTCATATCATGGCTGTTGGCTAAAGTGGATGCTGGGGTGTGCGTGTTCATCTGTGGCTATCGACTATAGTCGATGCTTGTACCGAAGTGGTTAAATATCCTTTTCTACCTATTTTGATGTTTCCACTCCCATCTCCCTCTGAAGTTGGCATAATCCTTATTTCCTCAAAGAAGCTTCCCAATGTCCCAGTCTGGGCGAGGCTTCTCATTATGGACTCACACACTACCACTCTTTTCCTTCAGAGAACTTAATGTGTCATTATATATTCCTTAGAGTGAGCATATGATTAACAACTGTCTTCCTTACAAACCTTAATTCCAAAAGATCAGGGACTGAGCCTGTGTCTGTTTTTACTAACATTTTATTCACAGCCTCTAGCTAACTCACTGGCTTAGAGTCGCCAGTCACCAAAGGGCTAGAGATGAAGCTCACTATATACTGAGAGAGACAGAGAGAATATGAAAGAATGCAGAGGAATAGATATGAATATATCACTTCTAAAAGACTTAGGCAAACATAAATATATCTTCTTACTACAGATCTACAGTAGGGTATTTAAGTATTCAGTTTTCATGAAAAATGTAATAAGAGTATAAAAAGGAAATTTTGAAAGTGAAAAATTCATCCTTATATCAACTACCCTAAGAGAACAGCTATTTTTTCCCTATAGTTTTCTTAATCTTTGTCAAAATGCATATTTGTATAAAATATACTCATGAGATTAAGAGCCTAGAATTAGAAAGAAAATTTGATGTGACAGTTTTTTCCTATAGAAAGAGTTATCATGTATATAGAAACAAACATACAAATAAATATGATAACTTTCAAGATATTCAATAGGAAAATAAATTGTACTGCATGATTTCAACATATTGTATACGCATACTCTGGCATTTGGATACACTATTACACACCTGTTTTTATAAGTCAGACGAACAGTTCTTGTACCTTCACATTTTCCAGGCTGCTGTTCTTTGGAAGCCTGTTCCCATTTAGAAATAATGTCACAAATCTAGAAGGGAAGTAGAAACTGAGATTTATAGGACTTTTCAAATCAATATTTTTTTAAAGGCAACTATGTCTACAGACTGAAAAATTTCATTAATATGATCAAACCAAATGTACTCAAGATTTTTTTTTTCTTCTCTTCAGCTTCTGTGTAGCTCTGAGTGTAGGATTTAATTATAAATTGCTCTTTGGTCCACTTAGCCTTTTGGACACACATTAACTTTGGACCATGGCCATGCATTTTTTACTCACAAAGGAGTCTTAATGCAGAAGTGCATGAGACTGGAAGCAAGAAGATTCCAGGGATCTTTTTCATTATTTGGTCACAGAAGAAGCAACTTTCTACCTTATAAGTTTAAAGTTATAGCAAAGAAATATGAAATATAAGAAAAGGGTCAGACTCAGTTCTAGCTATTTGATTTCAGGTAAATAATATCCCTCTCTAGGCCTCAGTTTCCTCATTTGCAAAATAAGTGGATTGTCTGTCTAAGGTCCCTTGGGGTTCTCTAATTCTATATTTCCAATTGTTGCCATTACTAAATGGAAACTTTATTAAAGTTATTTTATTATGATCTGGAAAAGATTTTGTTTAAGTCCCTCCTTCTTTCTTTCCATAGGTCCATTTCTGTACATCCTTCAAAGTCCAGTCAGGCTTTCCCTAATTTCCAATGCTGAATTTAACCTCTCTCTCTGTGCAAAGTTCATAACACTCTTAAAACAATTACTACTTTCAACCCTAGCTTAAGGTCATGAGTGTATAAGGCTGCTCTTCCCTGAGCAAATTTTAAGTTTACCCACTGTGGGAAGGGATTATTTCTGTTCCTTTGTATTCCCCACAGAGTCCAGCCAGCTGTAGGACACAATAAATAGTTCAATAAATATTGCTGAATAAAGGAAAAAAGTGGAAAGCCATTTTATTAGAGCTTTCATACCTCATCCTAATACCCTTATATTTAGAGTATTATTACCATTATTAATCCATTTCCTCTTTTTAATATGGAGTGTGTGGTGTGTGTGTAGAGATTGTGTATTAAGAATTCTAAGGCTTTAACAATGTCCTGAATTTTTTTTTTATTGTGGAGATCAGATTGCTTAAATTTTTGGAAAACTCTTGAACTAAACTTCTTGTAAAATAAAGAGTAGCTTCTTTTCTATTTGCTGGGTTTGGTTCCTTAAAAGGACTTGGTTTCACCTTGATGTTTCCTTGAAGACAATGCTCTAAATCTCTGCCGGAAGGATCGTCAGTGAACAATGCAAATCCAGACTGGGCTGGCTTCCTCATTCCTGTGTCCTGGTTCAAAGTATTCAAAAATTCTTCCACTGTGGTGGATGCATCAAACCCAACTACCTACACAGAAGTAACAAAGTAGTTCTCTTTTAATAAAAAGTGTATAAATTTCAAACTGAGATTTCAGGAGTGAAACAGGGCATACTTGGCACATGATTAATGAAAACATATATTTCTGCAGGTGTTTTAACTTTTTTTTCCAAGCTCCAACAGAGAAAATTAACAAGATTACCTCAGTAGTCAGCTTGCTGTAAGCATTCAGAAATTGGAGCTTCAGCCAATAGACATAAATTCAAAATAGAAAGATCACTTGACAGCTATAAACCTCTTGTAGAGATATTATGGCTACCCTTTAGAAGCAAACCAAGAACTATATTACAATATGCAATCTTTAAGCAAATGAAAGAAAATAAAAAGAAGTGCATTTAAATAAATGAACACATTTATGTATTTAATGTTTGTCTCTTTAATAAGCAGTTAAGTATCTGAATTCAGTGATAAAAGGCATATATGGCTACAAAGACTAATTGCTAGCTTTGCGACATGTTTGCTTCAGTTAATAAGTGAGCATCTAGATCTGAGAATTGGGAGGGGCCTGGAAAGTTTTCTCAGATGATTTCTGAGATTTGGATATTTTAAAAGAGACTAAAATTGTACACATACAACATTAGTAATTATTTCCATACCTAGCAGGTGCACTGATAGGGAAAAACCCCAACCATACTGTTTTTGGTTTTCTCTGTCAGAGTTATGATGGCAGTAAAACCATTATTTGGTTCAATATGGATTTCTTTTTAATGTTCATCCTTTTTAGCAAAACTGTTTAAAAACTCAGCTGTTTTGATAGAAGATCTAATATATTTGCATGTTTATCTCTGCCAGCCCCTGACAAAGACAGGTAAGACAGTCTCACTTCCCTATTCCACAGAGGTAATTACTAGGATTCTCATCTAAGTATGTTTTCATAAAGGTACAAGGCTAACCTACCTGATATATCCCATTCATGAAGTGTACTGGTATACTGAAGGGTAAAGAATGATGATAAGGATTTCGAAGAAGAGTTGAAAGAATTTCCATTCTTGAGGGTCTGGCTTCTCGATCTCCATTTTGTTGAGTTCTATCTACACATCGCTGGCAGTAAATGGCATATTTTCCAAATTCTGTCCTGTAATACAAAACTTAAGATAAAATCTAACAATAAATTTAATTGACAACCTAATATATTCAACCATTAATAATGCTTCTCTGTATATTATTATTGTACAATGTATTATGCTAATTTTAACAGTAACTTTTCTTTGTGAATGAGAATAAACTGCTATAACTTTTCTCAAATTCCAATTTCTTTACTTTTACAACCAACTGACTCAAACATACCCACAAAGAATTCTTCCTTTGTTGCATTACTGTAATCACAAACTACATTTAAAATTACCAGTCATATAGTCAACATATAGTGACTTAATATTAACAAATATAAAGAAAATAATTGTATGAAGAATCATATAGAGTGACTTAAAAAAACATGACACAGCAGATTTCTGCTTTGAAGAACATGGAGGATAATGCTTAACTGCTAAAACAAGGTAAGAAAATGTCTGCAAACAAAAATAAAAATATATTTTATTTCTTTACCCTATAAAACACTGTACTTGTTAAAAAATGTTAAGCATTAAACAAAACCACTGAGTAAATAAATGTAAAAGCTGGATAGAGATTTTATTTTGCACTCTTTTGTTATAATTTTTATTATTTATAAAAGCAAATTGATAATACCTCTAAATATATTTATACTCAAGTATCTTGTAGGCAGACCCTAAAATATTACCCTTTATCTGGGGTTTCCTCAGTGAAGGCAACTGAAATCACATGACATTGATTACAGAGGCCCCAGAATATATTATGCATTTTGCATAAAGGCAGGATATTTTCCTATTGCTTCCAAGATGTTTTTTTGCTTGTTTGTTTCTTTCACTATGTGTGTGTCTGTTTAATCTCAGAGTCTATTTAACCAACCTAACACAATGCTCTTGGTGGACAAATTGTGGATAAGCCTTGGCTGAGTGCCCTGGGTCCCATAGTAAAACGCCATTCTGAAAGTTGGATTTTAAATGTCTTTTCCAAGGGAGTAAGAATTCTGAAGTAATTCAAATATCTACAATTATAAAAGGAGGGAAGATCATAGGGGAAGTTTTCCACATAAAAGAATTCAATATGGAGAAAAACAGGAAAAGGGAAAACTAAGGAAACAAAATAGTTGCTTTTACTGAAATGAACACTCGCTAATGCTAAGTCATTCATACTTGAAATGCACATAGACTTTTCACTCAAAAATATTCTTCGTTGGTTTTTAAAGCTTTTACTGCAATCTTCCATAAACTATTTAACATAACAAAGAAAATATTTTCCAAGCTCCACATAAATGCTAACCACAGGCTTCCTGTACCAATATTTATTTCACACATTCTTCTGAAAATGTACCTGGCAGGCTACTAAATACTTATGAGATATTGCAGACTTTCAGAGGCCACGTAAATGGTTCAGCTGGCTAGTTTTCTGCACACCTGGAATCTGCATTCCTCTTTAGGTGGAGCCTGAGGAGCCACAGGAAAGGATGATGGGGAAGGAAGAGCCCAACACAGAGCGCCAAGAGCTGCCAACCCTGGGCAAAGAGAAGGACCATAGGTTAGATACCGCATGCCAGTCAGAGACCCACGTCCGAATGACTGACAGACACTGGGAGAGCAAGGGGCTGATGATAGCCTCTCTTAACCCAAAAACGTTTTGCTTCTTCCACATATACATTAACTGTTTAGAGCATTTATAATACATTAAAACCATAAAAACTCTATAATGGTCAGATCCATGATCCATCTAGTTGTGTATATGGTTGTCTATGACTGATGTACCAAAGCACAAGTAGATATAGTGGTCCTTTTTGATATCACACTTAAAGATTAGGAATATTGATTCCTTATTATTCATTTGGGCATCTACTCATTTGTTAAAATATAAATATAAGTAACAGTTTTGAAAAAGGCATATTTCAAAATAGTATAAAATTATATGCCCCAAATCAAAACTCACCTACCCACACATACATACAAACACACCTACACATAAATAAGGGACATTATAAAAATATCAACAGGGGTTAAACAGGATTATGTGTGATTTTTATTTTTCCTTTGCTTTGTACTATTTTTACATATTTTTTCATTAATCAAGCATAACCTCATTTTTAAAATGTTGTATAAAAAAGGATGTGGGGAATAGGCACTGACCCTGCCCTTGATAGCTACAGTGCAGTAGAAGACAGTTATATATTTAAACATTAAAGTATAATATAACATAGTAATATCATGTATCTAGTTTTCTCAAAGTATAACCAATGGAGAGGATGACTAACTATTGGGGTAGTTTGAGAAGGATTCACAGGGAATATGTTGCTTGGGCTGGACTGTAAAGTCTTACAGGAGGGAATGAGGAAGGGGGACTCAGGGAAGAGGAATCATACAAGGTGAAGAATACTGCAAAGGCAGGGTGTGTTTGAAGAACGGGGAATTTATTCATTTGCTGTATGCTCGAGGCAGGATGTAGGGAAAGAGGAGGCCAGTGTAGCCAGATATTGAGGAGACCTTGATGCATATGAACCTCAAGCTTCAGAACCCCCTTGGGGACAGGCCCCTTCCAAGGCCCTGGGAAGGGTCCTATCAACTGTGTTTGTATGGTCATGTGTTTGTTGAAATGTGCAAAAGTAATATATTTTGTGCTCTTTTTCTTAAAGAGCATTTGCCAAATTGTATAAGCTTCAAGTCCTGCAAAATTTGGATCCAACCCTGAGAGTTCTGTATGCTAGGTTAAGAAATTCCTGATTTCTGCTTCCATCTTCCTTCTCTTTCTTTGAGACGCCAAGCTGTCTCTCTGCTCTCTTCCCTCACCTCCTTCTCTCTCTCTCTCCCTTTCACTCTCTCATTCTCTCTTTCTCCTCTGAGAAGGAAAAAATAAACTTTTAAACTTTTTATATCTTAAAAAAAATAAATTCCTTATTTATCCTGTGGTTAACAAGGAGTCGATATGCAGAGATAAAAATAGGATTCATTAAAAAGTAAACACACATGACTATGAAACCCCCCAAAAATATATTCAACTGCACTAATAATTAGAGAAATGTACCCTTAATCAATAGTAAAATATAATTTTTTTACCTGGAAAGAATTTAAAATAATTATACTGAATAGTGTTGAAGATACAGGAAAAATCTAGGAATGGGTTCAAAAGAATTCACTAGATCTGTACACAAGATTTAGGTTCAAATATGTCTACTATATAAGTATTTATTATAAGAAAATTGAGAAATCTCCAATGTATAGTAATTACGTTAGTGCAACCACTAATGTTTTGAAGAAGATTCAGGGGAAATGATTATGTTCTATAGTTTTGAAAAGTAGTATGCACACTGTAACTCCAGTAATATGAAAAACTGTGAGTAGGAATATACTTACATACATTTACATTTATATATAAACATATAAATATATAAATAAACCAAAATAATATATATCAAAATATTAACAGCTACTTTTCCTCTTCCACCTTCTGTATTTTCCAAATATCTATACTGAATGTGTATCATTTTACAATCAGAGAAACATCACTTTAAATTGCATATGTATGCTCAATATATACCTGCAATGGTCCTGGTTGATTTTGTGGCTGTCTTCGCCTTGTCTGTTTAATAAGCTGACAGCAAATTTCATTCTGTAGCTCAGGATGTGTCAGACAGATTTGTAAAGCACTCTGGGCTAGAGATATGTGGTAATCAATCGCAGGGGAGTCAACTGCAGCATTTATAAAAAGCTGGCAGGTCTAAATTAAACAAAAAATGATATACTAAGGTGAGAAATGATTAGATTTGTTCTGCATGAATTAGATTGATTCTCTTTTCAGCAATATTTTGTTTAAAATGATGGGGAAAGATATATTATGATAACACTAATCAAAAGAAATCTGGAGTGGTTACAATAATAGCAGACAAAGTAGGTTTCAGAGCAAGGAATTCTGCCAGAGATAAAGAGGGTCATTTTATAATGATAAAGGGGTCAGTCATCTAGAGGACATAACAATCCTAAATATCCATGTATTTAATAAAAGAACTTCAAAATACATGTTAATCTCATCCCGTATATTTTTCATTTTAGCCATTGCAGTTTTCATCTCTAAAAGCTCAATTTGGGTCTTTTGCACATCTTCCATTACTCTCCTTAAAATGCTCATGTTTTCTTCTACCTTCCTGAACAAGCGAAGTGTGGTAGGCAACCTCCAAAATGGCTTTTCTAAACCTCCTGACACTCAGATCCTTAGGTAATTCCCTCCCATATTGTACCAGGGCTGGTCTGTGTGACTAGGAAAATTTGGCATGCCATTCAGAGATTAGGTTATAAGAAACAATGTGGCTTCCATCTTGGCCACTCTTTCTCTTTACCTCTTAGATCATTTGTTCTGGATTAAGGTAACTGCCATGTCTTGACTAGAGGCCCACGTAATGAGGAACTGAGGTTTCTTTCCAACAGCTGCATGAGAGAGTCTGGAATCCTCCAGACCCAGTCAAATCTTCAGACAACTGCTGTCCCAGTTGACAACTTGATGGTAACTATAACACATGCCACTCTGAGCCAAAACTACCCAGCTAAAGTGCTTCCAGATTCCTGACCCTCTGAAACTGTGTGAAATACTAAATGTTTGTTTTTGCAAGCCACTAAGTATTGGGGAAAATTTTAATGTAATAATAGGTAACTAATACGCAGACATGTCCTTGTTTACCATCATTTGTATTATTTCTAGATATGTTTCTATGATCGCTTTTTCTCATGATTACATACATATTTAACCAATTCTCTGTATGCCTGGTGATGTCTGACTGGATGCAGACATAGTGAATTTTATATTGTTGGACACTGGGTTTTTTGTAGTCTTTAAATATTTTTGTGTTTTGTTCTGATAGTTAAATTACTTGGAAACAGGTTGATTTTTTCAAGGCTTCTTTTAAGTTTTCTTTGGGTAAAAACAGCCTTTAGTATAGGACGATTTGGGGCCCATTATTGAGGCAATAACCCTCTGAGTACTCTTCTTGATGCCTGATGTGTTAGAAGGAAGATCTTTCCATTCTAGATGATGAGAAAATAAACTATTTCTACCTCTACGTGAGCTCTAGGAATTTTTCTGCCTACTCCTTTCAGGTACTTCTTTCCCTAGTCTCAGGTGGTTTCCTCACACACACATGCTTATCAGCTCTCAGATGAAAACTCCAAGGGAACACTGCAGGTGTTTTGAGTTCCCTCTCTCCCATTCTTTAGCTCTTTCCTCTCGTTCCTGTGAATTCTAACTACCTTGGCCTTCTGGAATTCTGAGCTTTGTCTCTGCAACTCAGGAAGACTGTCAGGCTTTGTTTGGGGTGGCCAAAAGTAGAAGTTCTTCCTTTTATATTCTAACTGGTTGTTTGTACATATAAAAGCTTTTGATTTATGCTTATTTTGTACCTCACTATCTTACTGAGTTTTTGTTTGTAGTAGTTTTTCAGTTTGTTCTTTTGGACTTTCTAGGTATAAATTATACCATCTGTAAATATTTTCATTTATTGCCTAATTGCAGAGGATGTTAAAAATAATGACAAAATTTATATAATTTATAGTTTAATTAAAAAGTTAAAAAATAATAATGGAGACTATCTTTATTTTGTTCACTTTAGTGGAAATGTTTCTAATATTTCTCCATAAAGCATGATGCCTGCTTTTAGCTAAGACAGAAATGTGTTATCATGTCAAGCAAGTAATCTATTGCTATTTTATGAATGTTGTATTTGTCAAATATCTTTTTGGCATCTATGCCAAAAGATGATTATCTATCAAATAATAAGTAATATTAATAGATATCCTGATATTTAGCCTTCCTTGATTTCTTGTAATAAATATTAGTCATGATTTAATATTCTTTTCCCCATTTTTAAAATTGTATTGATACATAATAGTTTTATATATATTATACTATTAGGTTAAATGTGAAATTAAATATGAAAATTCCAATTTTGAATCAAAAGTGTAATTTAGTATCTCAAATAAGAAGCAGTACAATTAATCAAATATGAGCCTAAACTATCGACAGTTTTGCCATCTTAACAGCAGCTTGTTTATACCAGTAGCAAAGAAGCCTGGAGAGTGAGTGGCAATGAAATCACTAAAGGCATTGTTCATTGCTTGTTGAGAACTGAATATTTTCCTTGCAAGAATTGATCCAAAGCCTCGAAGAAGTGGTAGTCAATTGGTGCAAGGTCTGGTAAATATGGTGGATGACAGTTTCCAAGTCCAGGTTCTGTAGTTTGAGCAGCATTTTTTGTGCGACATGTGGTCAAGTGTTGTCTTACAAGAGGATTGGCCTGTCTCTACTGACCAATCTTGGCTGTTTAATTGCAAGCATCCTCATCATTTCATCCAGCAGTAGACATCAGCTGTAATCGATTGACCAGGTTTCATGAAGCTGTAATGGATACCAGTGCTGGACCACCAAACAGACACCATTAGCTTTTTTTGATGAATATTCGGTTTTGCACTATGTTTTAGCACTTCATTTTTAGCCAACCACTGTGCTGAATGCTTGTTATTGTCAAAAAGAATCCATTTTCATCACATGTAACAATATGGTGTAGAAATGGTTTGCCTTTATGTTATGACAGCAAAGAAAGGCAAGCTTTAAGATGATTTCTTTGCCGTTGCTCGTTAAACTCATCTATCCAGCTTCTTTACCTTGCCCATTTGCTTCAAATGGTCCAATATTGTTGGAATAGTAACATCAAACCTTGCTGCTAATTCACATTAGGTTGAGATGGATTCGCATTTACTATAGCTTTCAGCTGTATCCACCTTGGTCTTAAGTTGCTCACCTGGCTCATTTTTAAGATTAAAATCAACAGAACCAAACCATCAACGTACTATGCATTCATTAGCCACATCCTCCCCAAACACTTCATTAATATTTTGAGTGGACTGTGCTGTATTTGTTCCACAAGAGGAACTCACATTCTAAAATAATATGAATTTTTGACCTATCTACGGTTTCACAAAATTGGCTCTAAAAATTTTTTTTGAAAGAAAATCACAAGCCAAAATGTGCATTTGAAAGACTGAGCATGTACCTTCACAATAAAAATAAAACAAGAAGTGTCAAAGTGAAATGTCAGAGATATCAACTGTCAAACTAAGGACTTAAGATAATCAGACATTTCATAATTAATAACCTAATATTTATAGGGTATATAAGTGCATACAATATGTAATCAAATCAGAGAAATTGGGATCACCATCAGCCATCACCTCAAACATTTATTATTTTTTTGTATTGGGAATATTCTTTTTTTTTTTTTTTGAGACAAGGTCTCACTCTGTTGCCATGTGACAGCGCAGTGGCATCATCATAGCTCACTACTGCCTCAAACTCCTGGGCTCAGGTGATCCTCCTGCCTCCATCTCCCAAATAGCTGGGACTATAGGTACGTACCACCAAACTTGGTTAATTTTTCTATGTTTTGTAGACACAGGGTCTCGCTCTTGCTCAGGTAGGTATTGAGCTCCTGATCTGAAGCAATTCTCCCGCCTTGGTCTCCCAAAGTGCTAGCATTACAGGCAGGAGCCACCACACCCAGCCTTGTTTTGAGAACATTATAAATCTTCTTTTCTAGCTATTTTGACATATACTATAATATCTTATTAACTATAGTTGTCCCACTTGCTATAGAACACTAGAACTTAATCCATCTAATTGTATGTTTGTACCCATTAATCAACTTATCTTCACAACCCTGCACCCTCTTCCCAGCCTCTGGTAATCACCATTCTACTCTCTACCTTCACAAAATCTACTTTTTTAGTTCCCACATACAAGTAAGAACATGTGTTATCTTTCTGTGCCTGGCTTATTTCACTTAAAATATCCTCCAGTTCCATCCATATTGCTGCATATGACAGGATATATTTTTCTTAATGCCTGAATACTATTTGTTGTGTATATGTACCACATTTTCTTTTTCCATTCATCCATTGGATGATTCCATTAGGTTGATTCTAAATCTTGGCTATTGTGAATAGTGCTGCAATAAACATGAGAGTACAGATACCTCTTCAATATACTGATTCTCTTTCTTTTGGATATATGCCCAGCAGTGGGATTGCTGGATCACATGGTAGTTCTATTTTTAATATTTTGAGGAACCTCCATACTGCTTTCCGAAATTGTTGCACCAATTTACATTCCTAGCAACAGTGTACGAGCATTCCCCTTTCTCTGCATCCTGGCTAGCAATCTGTTATCTTCTGTCTTTTTGATAATAGCCATTTTAACTGTGGTGAGTTGATATCTCATTGTGGTTTGGATTTGCATTTCCCTGATGATTAGTGATGCTGAGCATTTTTTATATACCATTTGTATATTTTCATATATATAAATGTATATATGAAATATGTATATATATATATAAATGTATATATACCATTTGTATATAGCCATTTGTATATTTTCTTTTGGGAAATGTCTATTGAGATATTTTGCCTACTTTTAAATTGAATTATTTGGATATAGAGTTGAATGATTTAATATTCTTTTAACATGATGCTGGATTCTGATTGTTAATATTTAATTATTTTTGCAAATGTTCTCTGTTTTTTGGGGGGTTTGGTATCTAAGTAACAATCATTTCACAAAATGAATATGGTGATATGATGATTGAGGATTGCTTCAAAATAATGCAGGGTCAGGGAGCAGTGAGGATGGGAGAATAAAACAAAACTGGTCATGTGTTGACAACTGTGGATCTGGGTGATGGGTACCTTGGACTTCATTGTAATATTCTCTCTACTCTTACATATGTTGGAAAGTTTCCAAAATAAAAAGTAAAAGAAAAAAACATTTTGGAAAATTTCCTTCTTTTTCTATGCTTTGGGACAACTTAAACAGCATTGAAATTATCTACTCATAAAGTTTTATAAATTCTCTTGCTTAGATTATTATTTTCTTGTGGAATCAATTTTGGTCATTTATATTTTCTTATAAAATTGATCACTTCATCCAGATTTTCAAATATATTTGTATACTCTTTCTTGCTTTGAGTATTTGTGTATTCTGTAGGTAGATTTTTAAAAACATTCCATTATAGCAACTTTTAAAATGAACAAAAGTAAAATAGCATAACGATCTATCATGTACCCATCATCCAGTGTCAATAATTAACAGCATTTTGACAAACTTATTTCATTCACCACCTCCCCACCTCCACTCTTTTCCTAGAGTATTTTAATGTATGACATGTTTCTTTACCAATAATACTTCAGGATGGATCTCCAATTGATAAAGTTTGTTTATCCACAGCCATCATGCCATCATTATAACATCCCAAATTAGCAATAATTCCACAATATTATCTAAGAAGCAAATGAATTTTTTGATATGGGAGAAATATGGGCAAGTAAAAGCCAAAAGAAAGAGACTGAGGCTCTGAGAGACTAGGGGAAAATGAAGTACTAGGATCCTGCTGTGGAGCTGAAACCTGGAACCACAAAAGGTACACCATATTCTGAGACTGGAGGAGTAGATGAGAAAATAGATGAAGGGGAAGGATTTGAGGTAATCATGTCTAATGTCCTCCAATTTTCTCAATGAAATATTAATAGAAGGCAAGTTTCTTTTTTGTATTGTTGAGTAGGGAGTTTGAGGAGCATGTGACCAAAGACAAGCAAAAAGACAGACAGTTGTCCATGAGGAATGGAGACCATGGATTTATACTGGTTCTAGCCTACATGGCTATTTGATGCTCTCTAGCACCGTACATCTGGTATCCTGGGAGCAGACAACACTCCATTGGTCTGTTAATAACTAGGATCTGGCTAAAGAATACATCAAAGTATGGGTCCCAGGGAACTACCAGTACTTATTAATAATAAGAGTAAACCAGACTGGATAATGAAGGAAGAAAAGCCAAGAGGCCATTGTCATAACCTCAGAGAAAAGAAATGGCTCAAAACAAATGTCTTAGGGATGACAAAAAGTAGAAGAGCAAAAAAATAAGAGAGCATGACGGCTAGGATTGTGGTTAACAAAAGATATATTAAAATTTAAGCTTTTAAAGGTGGCATACTTGGAAGGACTGGTGAAGTCAGGTGTGGATATGGGGAACGGGAAGATAAAGTAGACTAGAGGTGAAGTTAACTGGAATTAAGAAGGTCAATAATCTTAAAACCATGGCATTGATGAGTGAAGTGGTAATAAAGTCATTTGCAAGACTTGAGGTACAGAGAAAGAATGTGAGATGGAGCCAAAATCCTAAATGATATTTAAGGAGTTACTGGAAGGTAGCTGATGAGAGATAGAGGATAAAGAGTGATATGGATTGAATGGCAAATTCTAAGTGATGAGGGATTTCTAGTAGAGGTTGAGGAATAACAATTTGAGAGCAGCCCAGGAAAGGAAATGGTGCTGACCCCTTTTGCAATGCTGAGTTTGGTGTGATGTGAAACATCTTTACATTTGAGAGGTTAAAGGGGAAGTGATTCTCTGGAATCAAGTGTTTCGCACTGTCCAAACCATACATAGCTTATTTCAGTAAATCCAAAATCCTCACTCAGAAAGTATATAAAACTCACTTAATTTTATTTTAATAGATTTTCTTACTAATCATCATCATTATCACATTTTGAATTTTCTTGGAGATAGTAAAACTTTGTAACCCAAATTATTATTTTTTATAACTAAATTATTTAACAACATATAACTATTTTACCTTAAATAATTTAATAGCTTCTGTCTGTAGAGCTTCAGAAGGCAGTGTTGTCAGAGGGGAAATGATTCCTTCTTTGCTGTGACACAAAGTGGGGTGTCTCCATATCTGAGAGGCTAAATACAGAATAAAATATGAATAGAAAACTGAACAAATCACTTATTTTGGCCTCCCACTATATTAGCCCTTTAGAAATTAGCTCATGCAGGCTTGGTGCACAACTTCAAGTCACAAAGGTCAGGAGAAACCTTTGGTAACATTTTATTTTGGTTGCCAGGCCATTGTGATTCTCATGCTCTGTTTTAGATAATCTAGATGAGTTGGGTTCTAATTTACTAGTCTACCAGGGGACTAACATATGGCTTACATGTGCTAAAGATTGGTGGCCTAGCTAGGGAGATGACTCTATGTGAGGAGAAGCTGGGGAAAGAGCTAGAGAGGAAAAGCCAAAGTAGCAAGAAATATAAAGAGGAACCTGAAGTCATTTATTTCTAAAGTCAACATTTATTATATTCCTGTGTTGGACACTACCAATTAAATGTGGTCTTTGTTAGTATGTAAAACATAGGATAGAATCTAGATTCTCAATGAGGAAACATTAAATATAAAAAATTAATTTCAACGCAAAGCTACAAACGCTATCAAAGAGTTAAGTGGCAAAGTGCATTGGGATATAATTTTGACATTGATTAAGCTCCTTTTATGAGCCAGACACTGACTGGAGTGGGCTGGCTAGGGGATTTTTTCAGGCCAGATAAGGTTTCATCATGTTGATGAGGACTGCCAAGGAAGGGGGCATTCCGAGCAGAGGAGCAATGTGAGCAAGCACAGAGGGATATGACAAGACATAGCATAGTGGGGGATGATTGTGTCCCTGGAGCTGAAGAACCACAGTGAGAATTGTGGCCCATGACAAGCAAAGGCAATGATAAGGTGGGTATGTTGCAGGGGAAACAGGAACCCACAAAGTGAAAACTCTATTAGGCTAACGTCCATTTCATAAACCATAGAGCCTTATATGTTCATGAACTTACAAGGTTCCCCTTCTATATTTAGCAATTTGCAAACAAGTTGTTCAAATTCAGATCCAACATTTACATTGTTACTTCCAGCTGCAACAGTCAGATGATAAAGCCAAGTGTCCTTAAAATCAGAACATATTAATAGAAATGTTAACCAAGATATAGTTTTGATTACTTAAAGAAAAAAACCAATTTGCATAAACAGCAAAAACTTTTAGACAGAATAGAACCACTTTCTTTAATTTTTTTTGTAATAACTAAAAGCCATTTAGTCAAACAATTCTGAGGCAGGCTTACTTGAATTGTGTTCATAATACATATTCTCATTATTCACAATTTTATTATTTTCTACAGATACTTCTTAGAAAAGAAAGACAAAATTAAGGAAAGTAATGTATGTTGAGAGTAGAATAAATACAACCAGTTAATATATCTTTAAGAAATACAATAAATTCTAGCAAATTTAAAATCTGACTCTCAGTATAATACATATATAATACTTTGGAAATCCAGAAAATTTAAAGAAGAAAGTCCCATTTTTTTCCCACTCCCCAAAGATAACTACTGGTCTTTTCTTCCTCTAGGAAAATAGATATGTAGATTAAATTTTTACATGGTTGAATTATACTAAAAAATAGAGGATTATAATTTTTGAATTTTACTAATACCACATAATCATTTCTTTGTTGCTAAAAATTCTTTATAAGCAAATTTTAATGGCTATAGGATATTCTATTACATATATGGACACACTGTATTTATTTAATCAATTTCCTATTGTTGAACATTTAGATGTTTCCTACTTTCTCACAGAGAAAAAATACTGTGACAGTTAACATCTGTTAACTAAGAAGGATATATTTTCTGAGTTTAAAATGTCTGAGAAATAAAATTATTTTTAAAAGAATACTGTGTTCAACAAATTTATACATAAATCTTTCGCTGCAGTTATGATCACTTTCTTAGTAGATGGAAAGAGAATTATGAGTCATTACTAAGGCATGAAGATTTTTAGAAACTCTTGAAACACACTTTCAAAGTACTTTCCAGAGCATTTATACCAATTTATACTCCCACCAGAGGAGCAAGAGACTGTTTCCATCCTCATAGCTTCATTAACATAATTTTCTAAATCTTTGATAATTTGAGACAATAAAAGCTTTACCATTTTTTAAATGTGCATTTCTTTCATTACAGATGAGTCTAAGCATTAATTAACCATTAACCTCCTCAGAAAGTTGTTCAGCAGGTCTTCCTCCCATTTTCTACTGGAAACATAGTTTTCAAATCAAATGAGAGGTAGTAGAGACAAGTGTTCAGGAACACAGGATCTGTAGTCAGAGTTATAGGTTTAAATACCAACTCTGCCTCTTGCTAGATATGTGACTACAGGAACATGCTTCAGTTTTCCATATGTAAATGGGAATAAGATCACTTCCCACAGGAAGCAATTGTAAGGATGCAGATGAAATATACTTAGCACTTATCCTGATATATGTGCTCAAAAATTATCAATATCAATAAACAATCTATAAGAGCTGTTTATATGTTAAAGATATAATAGCCATCCATGAAGTATTCTGGCTTTTGTGTTATATTTTTAGTAATATTTATGTTTTTATTTGATATAAAGAAGTACTTCAATTTTTTGTATTCAAATCTGTCAACCATTTGCACCATGATTTCTTACATTGCTTTTTTTCCTATAAAGTACTTTATATTCAGAGATCAGATAAAGGCCTTTAAAAAATAATTTCATTGACTTCTTTTAACTCTTTAAATTCATCTGGAAATACTTTGCTATATGTATGAGATGAAAAAACTAAACTAATGTTTCCCTATATAGCCAATTTCTCAATATATAATAAATATATAGTACTATATATTGAACAATACATTACTTCCTCATTAATTTGTGATGTACCCTTTATTACAAATGACTACACATATATATATAATATATAAAATAATTCATTTTCAATTGTATCTAAACCAAAATCTTATTGAAAACACATCAATTATATATGGTGTAGGCCTTAGATTCACTGAAAAATATCCGATCTGATAGATCTAAATTTTTAACATAAGGTCCCACTGTCCTCCACCTTCATGAACTATTTTTAGCCTTAATACTGCTTTTGTCAGTAGGATTGAAAAATGACACATTTGAACAAGGAAAATAGAGTTGAGAGTCTATTGCAAAACTCTCTTCTTTATTTCCATAAAATTCATTTGAAATTATTACCAATATCTGAAGATCAATAGTCTAAATCATTCTAAATCGGCCAGTAAATCTTTAAATACCTTTTCATGCTTAGATCCAATTAGAAGGTAAGTGGGACCTTGGTCTTTGGGGTGGATGACGATTGTGTAATGTGTGGATAACAGACTACGCCCACTGGCTTCATAATCTTCATCTGAATCACAAGATCTGTCGACCTCTTCAACTTTAGCCTCCCAGAGTTTGATCTGACCTAAAGGAAACTAAAGTAAATGTTAGTAATTTCTAAATCTTTTCCTATTCAAATTTTTCATAGTCCTTTTTATTGTTACCTTTATAAAAGCAGTATCAAGCACATCTTTTAAAAATCATTTTAAAATATTGCCTAAAAGCAATTTGATTACCCACATTGTTACAGAAGTAGTAGCAACAACCAAAAGCCCAATTGTAATATGAAATAACAATGTGAATACTAGATATTTAACTTTTAAGGAAAATGCAAGAAGCTACACTTCAGCACAGTGGTTCAGATTATTCAGCTGGACTAAACAACCCATTATCTAGTTGAGCAATTAGTAATAATTCAGCCAAAATATTCATTTGACTTTTTTGAAGAACCGAGCAGTGATTTAACTATTGGATCAAAAGGACAAGTGTGCGACGTAGTCAAAATATTGCTCATAGAAAAAATAACAAGATTAGACGGAGAGTGCGAAGATAAACTATCATCCCAAACTCCAATAAACGAGGAGTGAAGATATAAGGGTCTTCACTGACATATATAATATATCAAAGAACAATACCATAATTTCCTCTATCTTAATTTCAAAGTAAGAAAAAGTTCCTTAAGCCAATTTACATTAAGTTTTATTTATCCTTTTATTGAAAAAAAAAGAAAGTATGGAAGTATATCTGCTGTGTTGAACATTAGATATCTGTTTTATAACTTTTGCTTTAATTAAGTACATTTATTCCAGGAACATACATAGTCTGCATCAGATTTATAACTTCTAAAAAATATTTGGTCAAGTTTCCAATTGCAGTTCTGAAAAAATTCACCCTAACTACAAAGACATTTAATCACACATTCTTATGCTAAGTTCCAGGGCTCAGTACTTGGACTCTTCTTCCATCTACACTCACTCCTGAGTGATATCATCCAAGTTCATATCCTGGGTGATATCATCCAAGTTAATATCAGCATATGTTAGTTACTCCCAAATTTATACCTCCAGACTCACTATTTCTACGTAGATGTTTAACAGAATCTCAAACTTATGTTGGCGAGTCCTCCCTGACAACCTGCTCTGCCTAGCCTTCCTCATCTCAGTTGTTGGCAATGTTATGGTTCTAGCTACTAAGGCCAAAATCCTTGGCATCATCACTGACCCCTGTCTTTCTCTCATACCTCATACCTAATTGATCAACAAATCCTGTCAGTAAGCCATTCAGAATCTATGCAGAATCTGGTCTCCTCTCAAACCTCCATGGCACCACCAAACCATAATCACCTCTTGCCTGGCTTGCTAGAGTAGCCTCCTAACTCCTCTCCTCATTCCCTTCAGTCTATTTGTAACCAGCAACCACAATGTTACTGTTAGACACAGGTAGGACTGGGTCCATGCTGTGCTCAAAACCCTCCAGTCTCTTGTCATTTCACTTCAGTGAAGCTGAAGGGCAGCAGAATCTGCCACTCCAAAAGGTATCACTTTGGCATAAAGGGTTATTTTGAACTAAAGGCCTTTAAAAAAACAACAGGTACAAGAAGGGCATTCTGACCCTCTCCCTTTTCTTTTCACAGGCAGGATATAAAACCCCCATATGGAAGATGTCCTCCCTGTACCAGAGGAAAATAACATTCTTATCATCAAAGACAGGAATCTGAGGCCAAGGGAAATTTGTACAAATGAACTTTGTTAAACTCAAACCTTATCTTCCTAGTCACTTCTCCACCCAATTAACTACCCTAGCGCAAGTCCCTTTCCCTTGCCACGTTTTCACAACTTACTACCCTTTGTCTAATTCAGTATTTAAGTGGTTAACTCTGTTTTTGGTTCTTCATTTCCTTTTAAGTGTCACGTAAAACCTACATTAAATAAATTTGTATGCTTTTCTCCTGTAACCTGTCTTATGTCAATTTAATTCTCAGGCCTGAAAAATCCCTAAGAGGGCAGAGGTAAAATTTTACCTTCTGTACAAAGTAAGCTTTTAAAAATAGGATGAAGGAAACTAATTTTACTATGATAATATATGACAATATTATCCTAATTGTGTGTTTAGGCACACCAATCATATGAAAATCTAGGTTTCATTCACCCCAATATTTAAAGTTGGTTATTCATTTTACCAAAGGATTCACAATGGCTCCATAAACAGTGAACAGAACTAATGCTTTCAAACATTTTGACTTAATTAAAGAAAACAACATGGAAACAGATTGAAAACACATTGTTTTGGACACTGTAGCACAAAATGAAGTAGGCCTATACTGATTCACATGTATTCTCAATAATTTTCCAGTGATTATAATGGATTTCTGCTCATTTATCTACATTCTTCTATGACAAATTCTATCCATTTTTATTAAATTATTTTTCTATCTGTAAAAACAACACATGCTTATTATAGAAACTTAGTAAGTATGGAAAGGTATAAAAAAGAAGAAGAAAATCATCCATAATACTATGATCAGAGATAATCATTCAACATTTTGGTATAGTTCTTTTTCATCTGCTATGCATATTTTTACTTAGATGTGCTGGACTGAGAATTATAAATTCAGCATCTCAACTACCCTCTTCTAAGATCTCATAATTACAGAGGAGAAGTTGGGAATTACATTTGCCAGAATCTCTGTCCCTGTATGATTCTGAGTTAGACTTTGCCCCTATGAGAGAATCTAGATGAAATCTGGAAGGTAAAGGTGAAAGAGGAGTTATTCTCTTGAGACCATTACCATCAGATGACGGGGCAGATGTGAGATTCACAGATGCTTCCCAATGAACTCTTGAGGACCATCTGCTTCAGTCCTTTGAGCTGAAATCTTCAGTGTTGACTTTTCTGACCTTCAGTGGTGGCTTCCCTAACCTCTATTCCTTCCACTTTTAAAAAAGTTATATAAGCTCTAAAATTTTTCTAAAAGGTATGTATGACCCTAGTTCTATATTAAAACATTATACTTGGGGCCGGGCACGGTGGCTCACGCCTGTAATCCTAGCACTCTGGGAGGCAGAGGTGGGTGGATTGCTCAAGGTCAGGAGTTCGAAACCAACCTGAGCAAGAGTGAGACCCCGTCTCTACTATAACTAGAAAGAAATTAATTGGCCAACTAATATATATAGAAAAAATGAGCCGGCCATGGTGGCACATGCCTGTAGTCCCAGCTACTCGGTAGGCTGAGGCAGCAGGATTGCTTGAACCCAGGAGTTTGAGGTTGCTGTGAGCTAGGCTGACGCCATGGCACTCACTCTAGCCTGGTTGGGCAACAAAGTGAGACTCTGTCTCAAAAAAAAACCAAAAACAAAAAAACATTATACTTGGAATAGGTACAGTGGCTTCTGTTTTCCTGACTAATAAATTAGTTAGGATTACACTGAGTATATAATTTTGTGTTATGCTTATTCAGGTAACATTTATATGTGCATATTTTCCTGCATTACTTCAGAGGTATCATTTTTAATGGGTGTACTGTGTTTTTCCATACCATCAGCAATACCAAGAACAATGGCATGTATTTTAAACACAGCTGGTCATACCTGAGAAAGCAGTCTGTGGAAAGGCAACAGAGAAATACTAACTGACACATATAATCACTAGACCAAGAAATTTAGTCTCATTATCACAGTAATCAGTCATAGGCTGTTCTTCTGAGGAACTGATATCATCATACTATGCAAGTACTCTTGGCCATGTCAACTCAACATTTATAGGTTCAGTAATCCAAAGGTGACACTGAGTACCCATAATGATAACTGGGCATACATTTCACCTTTGGTAGACAGCCCATCTTTCTACTGAGAAAGTGAAAATAACTCAAGTTCTTTTGTGGAAGAGATTAGTTTAAAAATAAGTAAATAGGATATAAACAGGCAGTTGGATGGATAGATAAATGGTATCCAGAAATTTGAAGGTCTGCGACAAGACTGGATTCTTTATCCTCCCCAGGTCTTCTTTCCTAGCTAACTATCCCCACCTCTCAACCTTATCTGGTCTGTCTGAAGCTGGGAAAACAGGAGAAATTAATGCCTGGGGTGGGCAAGAGGCAGAAGGCTTTTCTCTTCTAGGTCTTAGAAGATGTATTAATTTAAAGTTGCTAAGGTTTATAATTAAGAATCAAGAAGACTCCTGTAGGTGATAGGTATGTCATTACCTCAATAATCAATTTTACACCAAATTTTAACCTTATCAAAAATTCTAAAGTTTTACCTAGCAACAGAAGAGTGAAAAGGAAAACTTTAAGCCATAATAAACAATTGTCTTATTAAAAAGATATACATACCTTATCTTCTTGACTACGAAAATAATATAATGTCTTTCCTATAAGTGTACACCAGACTCTCTTGGAGTAGCCATGTTTCACCTAAAATCACATTTCAATGAATTACAAATGTAGCTCAGAATTCTGACAACTTAAAGTATAGCTTATACACTCTATTTGAAGTTCTACAGGTTTGCCCAACATACAAGTGATATTCCAAATGCTATTTAAAACTTACCTGTTACAGTAGGAGAATGGCAAGTTTTGCTTTGGTGCCAACTATTCAACATTTTTTATAAATGTTTACTATGTGTCAAGTGTACTATTAATACTATGCCTGGGCCTGTAATCCTAGCACTCTGGGAGGCTGAGGCAGGTGGATTGCTCAAGATCAGGAGTTTGAAACCAGCCTGAGCAAGAGTGAGACCCCGTCTCTACTAAAAATAGAAAGAAATCAATTGGCCAACTAAAAATATATATAGAAAAAATTAGCCAGGCATGGTGGCGCATGCTTGTAGTCCCAGCTACTTGTGAGGCTGAGGCAGAAGGATCACTTGAGCCTAGGAGTTTGAGGTTACTGTGAGCTAGGCTGACGCCATGGCACTCTAGCCCAGGCAACAAAGTGAGACTCTGTCTCAAAAAAAAGAAAGAAAAAAATACTATGGTTGGGACTGAAGATTCAAAGATGGATAAAATAAGGTGCCAATTTCACAAGTAAGCACATGTTATAGTTTCCATATTTCATAGATTTCTAATAGCCTTGTGGCTCACTGGGTTAACGCCCTAATGTTAGAAGTGAGAAGATTAAAACCTAAAGATTTCCAATGATTTCCCAAATGTAAAAGATTCATTCATTCAAAACATCTTATGTATTCTCTAGAAGTAATCAAACAAAATAACGAAATAATATTAAAAGCTATTGTTATATACTGAGAACCTCCTACAAGTCAGGTACTAAGTTAAGTGACTGGGACAGAATTTGAATCTAGCTCTTGACTTTAGTCAGCAATTCGTCTAGGTCCTATGGAAACAGATTTGAACAAGATACAGTCTCCTATCACAGGGAGCTCACAGCCTGTGAGGAAGGCAGACAATTAAATCAGCAGTATCCTATATACCTCATCAATAGCACAAAGAGTTTATATATATGTATATATACATTGTATATATGTACATGTACATATACATATTGTATATGTATATATATATATATACACACACACACATTTTTGTGGAGGACATTCCACCAACATTTTTGTTGTATATTGTAGGTTTATCATAATTTGATGGCTTTATGAAGACCCTTATTGACAGTTCCCCCTTCCCCAGTCCTGCCAGAGTATAAGCACTGAAGATCTTTATCAGACAGTCCCAGCTACATCCTCAAGCATAGAAGAACACAAAGAACTCCATTCTCACCAGTGGGTAAGATTTAGTATAAGTCCTATTGCTCCAGATCTAGAATGCCTGGTTGAGCTTGCCCCATAATCCACTCCTCTGGCAGAGGGCCCTGCCCATCTAGCCCTTCCAAGTTCTGCATTGAGGCCAGACACTCTCCTACAGTCTGGAAAGACCTGCCACTTGTAAACCAAGACACTGGCCAGAACAACCAAAGCCCCAAATTCTGTTGCCATGCTTGCCCATGGTGATAAGAATTAAGGAGAAAAATGAAGCAGGAAAGGGAAGTGCTTTACAATATAAAATCAGGTGGTCAGGAGGGCTCATTGTCACTAAGTAAGGCCCTGAAGGAAGTAGATGAGCCATTCATTCTGGAGAGAGTGTGTGTTGGTGAGAAACATGCCCAATGTGTCTAAGGAACAGCGGGGAGGCTGGTGTGTCTGAAGCTGAGCAAGTGAGGGAGAAGTTACAGGGGAAATTGTGGGGAGTGGGACAAGTGGAATACAGAGTTTACAGGAACTTGTAAACCCTTCTGAGAAGAATGCAAATTATTGCCACAGTAGATTTTACAGTGGGCAAGTCACTCTAGTAGAAAAGGCCTAGATTTTGAGGTCTGATAGACCAAGTTTTTGTTTGTTTGTTTGTTTTAATATTTTTGAGACACTGTTGCCTGGCATCATTGCAGCTCACTGCAACCTCCAACTCCTGCGCTCCAGCAATCCTCCTGCCTCAGACTCCCGAGTAGCTGGAACTACAGGTGCTATTTTTCTACTTTTTGTAGAGATGGGTCTCGCTCTTGCTAAGGCTGGTTTGGAACTCTTGGGCTCAAGAAATTCTCCTGCCTTGGCCTCCCAAAGTGCTAGGATTACAAGCACCAGGAGCCAGACCAAGTATTAAATTCCAGTTCTACCATATACTAGATGGATGTCCTCAGGTAAGTGACCTAACCTATCAGTTTCTTTGTAGATATCATAGAATTATTGTAAACCTCACTGGGCTGTTGTGATGATCAAATGAGAAAATATAAATAAAGGATAATAGTAGTTACTTAATAAATGCTTTCTTCCTCACTAAGAATAAGAAGTAAAACACATGTTTCTTTTAAACCCACAAACCCAGTCCAGCCTTTGCGCTTTCAAAGCTATGGTTTAAGCAAACAACTCCACCACCTAATGGTCTGATGGATTTAGAATGCTGTTTGAGAAAAAAAAAAATGTTATTTGGCAAAACATGTTTCAGTTTAATTAAATTAGAAACATATATTTACAGACAAATATCCTGCAAGTTTATGCAGGTTTTTTTCTTGTTTAAACAAATGCCAGAAAAAAGTCTCATCAAAACTGGATATAATCGCTTCTCGGCCTTTTGGCTAAGATCAAGTGTAGTATGTTAGTAATATCTGATACGTCTCTATCCGAGGACAATATATTAAGGATTTGGGCAGGAGATGCTCCGTCCACTCCACGCATCGACCTGGTATGCAGTACTTCCAGAACGGGCACCCCCGGGACAATAAAACAAAACTGGAGTATAATGCATCTGGCTATAGACAGTGTACTTTTGCAATGATTTATCTTTAATATAGAATAATGTGTGCCTTTGGATAACTGCAAATTAATGAGTCTGCCAATTCACTGCAAAAGTTGTGTTCTAAAACATGGCCTATCTTTATGTAAACCTCATTAGGATCTCTTAAAATTATTCTAAAAAAAATAATAAAATAAATTATACTAAAAGAATCCTCACAAAGATTTAATGGCAATCTCAAAACTCAAGGCTTCGGTGAATTAATTTAAAGAATACTTTTTTAACTTGCATCCATAACAAAAGTACTGTTATATATTAGTTCTGTTTGAAACTCTGAACACAGTGTATCATATTCCAATTGGCCTTTGTCATCACACAAGCCACAAGCTCCCACAGTCCTCTCTCTACACCTATATTCCCATCCCTGTGGCCTTCTCCACCACAAATCCTGCCATCAGTCTGCTGACTTCAATATCTAGGTGAAATTCTCATGATAATAATAGCTAGCACTTTTTGTGTGTTTATGATGTGTCAGGCATGGTTCTAACACATATTATATGTTTAAATAATTCATTTAACCCTCCTAACACCTTGTGACGTTGACAATATTATTATATTATCCCCATTTTACAGAAGAGGACACTAAGTCACAGAGCCTGTAAGTAACTTCTTCAAGGTCACACAAGTGGTAAGTGGCAGAGCCAGGACTTGCGCTCAGGCAGTCTGGCTCCTGACACTTGACCTCACCTCTTGGTCACACTGTCTCCACATCCTTGCTCTTTCCATTTCCAATAACCTTCACTACGCCTCCATTTTTGCCATCCATCCTCTTGACCATACTCCAGTCCTTTTTTCTTCATTGGGAACAGCTTCACTCCTGCAATTTACATTCTACTCTCTGATCACCACCTCTTCGCAGCTTCCTCTCTCGCTTACTCACCCCACTCCTATTCTGTGACATCATTTATAACTTTAAGTCTCCTGATCTTCCATTTTATTCTGGTTTATCAGTTCCCTCCTGGCCCCTCATCCTTCTCCACCAACCTGGAATCCCATGTTTGATCTCAAAACAACTCTTTTTTTTAGTTCTACCATATACTAGATGGATGTCTCAGGTAAGTGACCTAACCTATCAGTTTCTTTGTAGATATCATAGAATTATGTAAACTCACTGGGCTGTTGTGATGATCAAATGAGAAAATATAAATAAAGGATAATAGTAGTTACTTAATAAATGCTTTCTTCCTCACTAAGAATAAGAAGTAAAACACATGTTTTCTTTTAAACCCACAAACCCAGTCAGCCTTTGCGCTTTCAAAGCTATGGTTTAAGCAAACAACTCCACCACCTAATGGTCTGATGGATTTAGAATGCTGTTTGAGAAAAAACAAAAAATGTTTATTTGGCAAAACATGTTTCAGTTTAATTAAATTTAGAAACATATATTTACAGACAAATATCCTGCAAGTTTATGCAGGCTTTTTTTCTTGTTTAAACAAATGCCAGAAAAAAGTCTCATCAAAATGGAGTATAATCGCTTCTCGGCCTTTTGGCTAAGATCAAGTGTAGTTCTGTTCTTATCAGTTTAATATCTGATACGTCCTCTATCCGAGGACAATATATTAAATGGATTTTTGGAGCAGGGAGATGCTCCGTCCACTCCACGCATCGACCTGGTATTGCAGTACTTCCAGGAACGGTGCACCCCCTCGGGGATCAAAAAAAAAAACCCCAGTCCTGCCAGAGTATAAGCACTGAAGATCTTTATCAGACAGTCCCAGCTACATCCTCAAGCATAGAAGAACACAAAGAACTCCATTCTCACCAGTGGGTAAGATTTAGTATAAGTCCTATTGCTCCAGATCTAGAATGCCTGGTTGAGCTTGCCCCATAATCCACTCCTCTGGCAGAGGGCCCTGCCCATCTAGCCCTTCCAAGTTCTGCATTGAGGCCAGACACTCTCCTACAGTCTGGAAAGACCTGCCACTTGTAAACCAAGACACTGGCCAGAACAACCAAAGCCCCAAATTCTGTTGCCATGCTTGCCCATGGTGATAAGAATTAAGGAGAAAAATGAAGCAGGAAAGGAGAAGTGATTTACAATATAAAATCAGGTGGTCAGGAGGGCCTCATTGTCACTGAGTAAGGCCCTGAAGGAAGTAGATGAGCCATTCAGT